TGCTGGGATTAAAGGTGTCCAACAACACCTGGTCTCCATAAATCCTGTTAATCAACATTCTTTCCAATGGTTTAACTATAATTCACATTCATAGTTATGATTTGGTTTTGGACTTTGAAATTCATTGTGCTTATTTCTTTTGCTAACATGGGAACAAGAGAAAAACATGGAAGGACCCTGTAGATTACACAGGAAAAACATGGAAGGACCCTGTAGATTGACAGGAAAAACACAGAAAGACCCTATAGACTACACAGGAAAAACATGAAAGAACCCTGTAGATTACACAGAAAAAACAAGGAAGCTGAAACCAAGACAAAACTGACATCACAGAATTAAATGCTAGAAGTTTTGTTGTTGTTGTTCCTTTTTAAAATTAAATTTGTATTTGTTTTCTACTAATTTTTTCATATGATGTATTTCTATGCCCTAATCATATTCCGGGTGTTTCTCAGTGACCGTCCCTCCCCCACCTCTAGTGGCAGATGGTTTGTTAGCTGGACTTTGGAGTTAGAGGCTTGGCTCCCTCACTTCCTGGACATGGGACCTTGTCCCTGCTTTCCTAAGCCACTCTTCGTAGTATGGCTGCCAGCTCCCAAGATGGTTATGGACTTGTACAGAGCCTGGCATGTGGGGCATACTCAAATGGTGACTAATGTTAATGTTTACTGTAGCATCAATAACTACACTGGTCAGTATTATTGGTATTTAGCTAAGAGCATGCTCTCTTTCCCAGTCCTGCTGAAAACTGAAGGAAAGCCAGGCAGTGGTGGCACTTGGATGATAGAGGCAGGTGGATCTCTGTGAGTTTGAGGCCAGTCTGCTCCATAGAGCGAGTTCCAGGACAGCTAGGGATACACACAGAGAACCCTGTCTCTAAACAACAGCAACAACAATGCATTTTTAAAATTTTTGAAAAAAAAACAACCCTATTTCTCTGCTTCCTTCACTAAAAATGATGAAATTATCAAATGGCTGCTGCAAAGAATTTTGACTCCAGTAGTCAAGACCATAAAAAAAGGAAGAAAGAAACAACTTTACTTACTTCCTATATAACATTGGCAAATAGAATTATGGCCCAGCAGCTCTTATCTCGCGGCTGAATCATCTCTTCTTTGTACAGAGTGAGATAAAGACCCACAGTTTAGACTATAAGAGATAAGAAAATGGACTGTGTTATCTCAGCCGCAAACACTAAAGGGCTTCTCCCACTGCAGGGTAACTCAGGCTGTAACTATGGCATCTGCTCTCCCCCACGATAGATGACTCTAATGGATGGGAGGGGTGGTCTTGTTGGATGAACTGTGTCATTGAGGGTGGGCTTTGAGGTTTAAAGTTCATGCTAGGCCCAGAGTCTCTCTTCTCCTGCTGCCTGTGGATCTGGATGTAGAATTCTCAGCTCCTTCTCCAGATCCATGTCATCTGTGTGCTACCATGCTCCCTGTGATAATGATGATGAGCTGAACTTTTGAAACTGTAATCAAGTCACAATTAAATGTTTTCTTTTATAAGAATTGCCTTGGTCATGGTGTCTGACCAAGACAGAGCTTTGGTGGAAGATTTGAGTTCTGTTCCCATCAGCCAAGTAGAGTACCTAACAACACCTGTTATTTAAGCTCCAGGGCCTCTGATGCCTTTGGAATTCCTCAAGCACTCCCATGCATATATTTACATACAGACATACACATGTTCACATAATTAAAAAGGGACATCTTTAAAAATGTAAGAGACAACCCTGACAGAAGTTAAGTGCCCTTGGACAACTACCTAAATTTCATGAATCAATCACAATTATGAAGCATTAAATCATAAAATTATACTGCAATTGCTCTTATCACACAATAGATGCTTTAAATAGATAATGTGGGTTTTTTCTTTTATTCTTTCTGTTTCTTTTCTTGTTTTTCCTTCAGTTAACGTTTCCCCATGTGTTAGAGAGCTTCTTTTCTCTTGGCCAATGCCTTTCCCTTACTTATCCCAACATATAGAGTAGACTCACTATATTAAATATATTTACATATTTATTTATTTACAGACTAGTACTTTACCCAAAAGGAAGGTCATTTGGAATAACCTCCCTTTGCTATGCTGAGGAAGTTGGGAAAGTTAACCATAAGTCTATTTAATCAATAAAACCCTCTGAAATCTTTAAAAGTTAACAAATGACAATAATATGATATAATTTCTGACTCAGTTTTCCTTATCTCCTCTCATTACCTTGTCATTTAAATAACGCAAAACTTGGCTCATGGTTGCCATCTAACAAGAGGCTCTTCGTTGAATTAGGAGAAAAGGAAACAAATATTTTATTTGTGGTTCAAGGCAACACCTCCCCAATGGGAGCCGAACAAACATTACTTAGATAATTTTGGCTGGAAGGCATTCTGCCACCTACTCTCTTATTTAAATGCAAAGCTACTTGGAGTAATTCTTGGAGACAGGAAGATGGTTAGATTATTTAAAATATAATGGGGGATAAACAACTTTATGAAATCTTTTATATATAGTTAAGGCTTTATTGTTAAAGTGGCCCTGGGAGTGAAATTTGTAAATGAGAAAGTCAGGACCCCAAGGCTGAAAAGGCTTTGGCCGGTGAATACTAAATTGTAAGAAAATTTCATTTCTTGTTCATGGCATTACAGTTAGCATTTACAAAGACTTGCCCCAGGATATGTGTGAATATCAGCACTTTCAAGGCAATTTATACATCTCCCAAAATTAAAAAGATAATTTGGAAATGAGAGAGAGAATTGAAAGGGAGAGACACAGGCAATGATAGCCCAATAATTTGGCAACAGTAAGGTATAAATTGAGATTTAAACTTCCTCACAGTCAACAGAGGGAAAGGATGAAGTTAGTTACTCAGTTCAATGCATAATCACATGTACAGGGCAACCCAGAATTTCCCTCCTCTACCCAGCTTTGCATTTCCAAACAAGGTCCCTACCAGACACAGAGGCAATAGAGGCTGTGTGTCTAGGTTTCAGATACTTGTTACCTTAAGAGCTGCCTAAGTTGGCCCCACATGGGACACCCACCCCCTCCACAGAACCAGAATCCAGCCAGGTGGCTCCTCTCGGGGCATTCTATTCTCAGGAAGTTCAAGGCCTTGGAGGAGGCCTGGGATGAACTTGAGGTTATGTAGCTGTTTCCACAACCCATGCAATAAGTGTTCTGTTGTGGAATACGCCTTTGCACTGTATGAAAATACGTCACTGTGATTGGTTTCATTAAAAGCTAAGAAGCCAACTGCTAAGCAAGATTTTTCAGGGCAGAGAGAATGCTGGGAAGAGGAGGGGTAGAGAAGCCAGCCAGACGAAGAGTGAGTGGGATATACAAAATGGGGTAGAGCGTAGATTAATAAAAATGTGGGTTAATTTAAGTTATAAGAGATAGAAGTCACACGGTAGAGCGTAGATTAATAAAAATGTGGGTTAATTTAAGTTATGAGAGCCAGTTAGAAACAAGCCTAAGTCCAACTACAGTGATCCTTAACTCATCTGCACAGTTTTTAAAATTTGTAGTTGATCTATTAGTGCGTGTGTGTAAATATGTGTACATGAGTGTGTGTGCATGAGTGCATGTGTGTGCATGCATGTGTGTGTGCCACTGCCCACATGTGAAAGTCAGTGCTAGGAGCTGGTTCTCTCCACTGTGGGATTCAGAGGCTAAACTCAGCATTGTATGTGACAAGTGATGTTGTTCCCCGAACTGTGTCCCATCTTTACGTTTTCATCATTGCTGTTGCTTCTACACGGTGAATGCTGAGTTAAGGTTTGTGAGCTGCAGTAGACAATGAGCATGTGCAGAACAGTTAGCTATGGGACACTCCTCTCAGTTTAGGTCCGGAGGTATCAGAGATGGTTTCTGTATTGGGCAATATGAACTTTTCATCCAACTCTGTCAGTTCAGGACTTAGACCTCCGTATTTTAAATGAAAATGAAATCTTCTCCCTGGGTACTGATGTGCAACGACTCAGGTTATGAAGTGTCAGGATGAAATATAACCCACCAGCTTTCATAAAAGGGGGAGAAAAAAATGTTAATGCCTCTGCTGTCTTTATGAACAGGTATATTAATCCGTTTTCTTTCAAAACACGTACACCACAGCTCATGCAAGGTCATGGCCTCACATCTCCAAGTGGTAGTACACATCACCTGGGAAGCCAGCCCCTGAGAAAAATGTAGAAAGGATATGCTGTCATAAAGTTTTTATTTCATTATTGCGTGTGCACGACATTGCCTGTCGTTGAATGATATTGCGGGTGTCAGAGGACTTCTGGGTGTCAAGACTAGTCTTTTCAGGGTGGCTTCTAGGGTCTAACTCAAGTCATCAGGCTTGGGTGACAAGTTCCTTTACCCACTCAGCCATCTTATCGGGCCATAAAAGTCCCTTGATTTTCTTTAGGAAAGTTTTACTTATTTTACATGCACCTTTCTTCCTTCCTTCATTCCTTCCTTCGTTCCTTCCTCCGTTCCTTCCTTCCTTTCTTCCTTTTCATTCATTCATTCATTCACTTACTCATTTTGAGACAGGGTCTTACTATGTAGCCTTGGCTGGAGTTGAACTCACACAGATGTGCCTGCACTGGGATTAAAGGTGTGTGCCACCATGCCAGGCTGTTTTGTATTCTTTATTTGAACATATTTATTAAACAAGGAGGCATATCTTTGTCTCTGAAAAAGCTTCCCAGCCTCTTTTTCTTCAGTCTCCTCACTTATCCAAGTGCATAAAAGGCGCTGAAGTGCTGCCATTTTGTTCCATGTGGAGTTGCTTTTCTTTCTTCTCTCCGATCGCTTTGCTCCATGTTAGCTAACGAGGTAGGGACTGTTTGAGTGTGCTGCCGTGAGATCAATAGAATGACTGTGAGGGATAGCCAGGCCCCAGCTAGAGTGGGTCTCTTTGTCCATGCTATAGCTAAGCCTGGTTTCAAACTGTGTGAAACAAAGGGATTTTCACAATGAAATGTATCTGAGTGATGACTGATTTTCCTCCTCAGTCCCTCGGCGTACCTCTGAGAAATCAGCATGTCACTGAAAAGTGAGCCCAGGGTGAACACTTCAGCACTGCAGAAAATCGCCGCAGACATGAGCAATCTAATAGATAACCTTGACACCCGGGAACTCCACTTTGAGGGAGAGGAGGTGGAGTATGACGCATTTCCTGGAGACCCCAAGGCTCAGGAAGGTAAGGACAGACAACCGACGGACTGCTCAAGACTTCCTCAGGGTTGGTTGCAGGGCACAGAGGTAAATAATCTAGGGCGACCGTTTTCTTGGAGAGAGGACTTCCAGAAACTTATTATTTTAACTATGATTTGGGGTTTTGGGGGGATATCCTGTTTGATCATGACTCTGTCTCTTTATGACATTGATCTCTCTGAGTGACCAGATCCCACAGTCTACATGACCAGATCCCATGTCTCCCAGCAGCTCTAGCACAGAGTCAGGCCATGCTGTCGTGTGGCTTCGCAGGCCCTAATTTATGGTTCTACCCAGTACCTAGCTTATTTCCTTGTGCAGGCTATCTCAGACTGAGTCCAGGAAGGTTACAGGAGTCGTTTCCGTTCCTTTGTCTCTGGGGTTTCTCTGCACTTCCTTCTCTGGGCTTCCCTGTCACCCTGTGTCTGTCAGCTGCCTCCTACTCTTGCCTTAAGCTACACCTCTCGTGTCCACACTTTAAGAGGAAGCCCCATCATTGCTGTCTCTGATGGAATATAGTGTCCCTTAGTGCTCTCCCACCTCAAGGCCCAGACATGGCTCCCTTGGTCCTGAGGCCCTGTCTCCTAATAAAGCTCATTCCTGGGGAGGTCAGTTTTATGTAAGCTCCTTTCCCAAAACAGTCCTATGGGTCTCCCGGGCGAAACTTGGGTCATCTATCAGGCTTAGTGGCAGCATCGTCACCCACTTAGACATTTCATCAGCCCCATCTTAGATTTTGAAAAGACGCAGCTGCTCCTGTCTGTGACTGAAGTAACCTGTTCCCTCTGTCCTTTGCAGAGTACATCCCATTCTCTTCCATTTACAACACTCAAGGATTTAAGGAGCCCAACATCCAGACCTACCTCTCCGGCTGTCCTGTTAAAGCGCAAGTGCTGGAAGTGGAGCGCTTCACGTCTACAACAAAGGTCAGGGCACTTTGGGTTCATCGGGGTTTGGTTTTTGTCAACTACGTGCCACCAAACAGCCCTGACCCCAGATTCCTTCCTCACAGCTGTGATGCTGTTGGTTGAGCTTTAGCTGCCACTTCGTGTGGTTGTTTCTTTCTTCATACTCTGTGCTCTTTGGAGGGTCCACCACCCAGCTCCCAAACAATCACTCAGAGACTTACTCTTGATTATGAATGCCCGGCCCTAGCTTGACTTGTTTCCTGCCAGCTTTTCTTAAATTATCCTGTCTATCTTTTGCCTCTGGGTTTTTCCTCTTTCTCTATGTAATTTTCTTTATTTCTTACTTTCTTACTGCACATGGCTGGTCGTGTAGCTGGACAGCTGGCCCCTGATGTCCTCCTCTCTTCCTTCTCCTGCTCCTTGTTCTTCTTTTTCTCCCTCTATTTATCCTCTCTGTCTGCCAGCCCCACCTGTGACTCTCTCCCGGCTTGCTGTTGGCTGTTCAGCTCTTCATTATTAGACCAATCAGGTGTTTTAGACAGGCAAAATAACACGGTTTCACAGAGTTAAGCAAACACAGCATGAAAGAATGCAACACATCTTTGCATCACTAAATAAATGTTCTACAGCGTAAATAAAGGTAACACATCTTCAACTAATATTTCACAGCAACTTCTAAGTTCCCTTTACATCTCAGGATTTCTCTTCCTTATCATGTATTCTTCATTCTTATCTACCTCTTTCCCCCCCTTTATGAACAGTGATCCTTGTTGTTGGAGATGGGGTCTCATGGAGCCAAGCCTGGCTTGTCATCTCTTGCTCTTCCTTCTTCTGCCTCCCCAGGGTTGAGGTTATAGGTATGAACAGCTATGCTGCTACAGTGCTTCTTTATTTTTATTTTGGATAGCACTCATGAGCAGGTGAGGTGGCTTAATAGGTAAAGGCACTTGCTGCCAAGCCTGAGAACCTAAGTTTGATCTCCGAAACCAGGTGAGGGAGTGGGGAACGGCCTCCTGGGAGTTGTCCTTTGGCCTTGAGGTCTGTGACATATGGGCATGCCCACAGGCACACAGACACTTACAAAAATAAGTACATGCATGAAAAGAAACAGATACGAACAATATCATTCCAGGCAACTTGTTTAATAACTGGCAAGGGGCTGCTTTCTCTCTAGTAGTCCTTCTTACTTGGGCTTTTGGGTTACATTTGTTAGCTCTCAAACCTAAAACAAAGGCTAACTGAGGTGCCCATTTAACATATCAAAGTGGACCTGGCCATCAGGTTCTCCTAGCATCCCTCAGTCCCTACCTGTTACAGGGTATGACTAGCACACCCCCTGCCCCTACCTGTAAGTCCTCCAGCCCGGGGCTGGACTTCCCCAGCTGCCCTTCCCTATATAATCCAGCCAATTTTGTTACCCAACAATTTTTGTCTACCAGTTTCTGTCCTGGCTCTCCTCTCCTCCTCTCCCCCATGGCCTGGTGCACGTTTATGTTCACTCTGGACATTCCCAGATGTGTTCTGTCTACATTCTCCCTTCTATCCACAATAAACCTCCTCCACCATGACTAGGAGAAGTCTTGTCCTTCCTTCTTGTTCCTTTATTTCATTCAATATCCATTCTAACTGAAGGCCAAGTATAAGTCAAGAGAAATTTTATTTTTCCTAAGCATTCTTTAGCAAGAAACTATGAATGCTACGTATCTCTTAAAAGAAAAAAAATGTCTGGACATTGGATTGTAGATTCAGAGGCGCTGCTGAGAGAATTCTGTTGGCAAATTCTGTCATTTATTTTTGGGACTCCATCCTTCAGTCCCTGGGACCCCACTCTTCATCCCCCTGGGTCCTTTCCTCAGTCCCCTACATGTCACCTTCAGTCCCTGGAGTGCCACCCCAGTCTCTATTCCATCCTTTCTGTTCCTCTGAACTCGGCAAGGCTTTGGAGTAGAAGACTATCCCTCTGTGTAGCAGAGCTGCGCCCTCAGAAACAGACTGGATCAGGAGAGGTCTGGGTAGTTTTTTGCTTGTTGCTGCTTGAATTTCCTAGTAGTAGGGGAGCTTTGTCCCTCAGGCTGAGTAGTAGTCAAGACTGAGTAGGCCACCACTAGCTTCTGCCTTCAGGCACACACAGAAGGACATGGCCCCACCCCCCACTTCTCCCATTCCCCCTGGCTCCACCCCCTCAGTCCCCCACCCTCTGTCCCTCTGCACCCCCAGCCCCTCCACCCCTCCACCTCCCCGGTGTCCCAGTCTCTTGGGGGCAGCTGGGCAATTGTGCCTTCCTGCTGCTTTAGAGGTGTGATCTGTCTGATTCTGTTCTGCAGACTCCAGTTGACACCGCCCTGGTGCCTGGCCTGTACTTGGGCTGTCTGGCTCTTTTCTTCCCTCCCCCCATCTCTCCTGTTCCTCTCTTTCAGAGACAGTCTCCCGTAGTTCAATTTCCAACACCTTGTTGTTGTGTACCTGATGCTGGTCTTGAACTCCTGCATTTGCTCAGTGCTGGGATTACAGGCCTGTGTTTCCACATTGGTTTGATTCGCTGCAGAACTTCTGAATCTAGGCAGTGCTACTGAGCCCTGCTTTAGGCTTTTGCTTTGTGTTAGGTTCCCATCTCTTGATGAGTCGTGTCTCCAATGCCCTTTGCCTCTTATTTTCCTGCTAGTTTTTGGATGGCAAGGCATACTGTATAGGGATTATGCCCAACTCTGGAGCCTGGCTACAGGGTTGAGTTTGTGTCTTTGACTTGAAATCTTGAACAGGTTACTGAACCTCTCAGTTTCTGCACCCCCATCTGAACACTGGGTCTAAGGGTACTTACCCTCTGTGGTTTCTATTGTTCATCCCATTGGTCAAGAATAAGACAGCTACCACAGTTTAAGGTCAAATTTAAAGCAAGCTTTAACTAAATACTGGTCAGACTGATGTACTCTCTGGCCAGGTCCATTTCGGGTTTCTCGGAAAATGGCCCTGAGCACATTTTACAGGGGCTTAAAAAGGCAAAACCCACAATTCACTGTATTCCCAACAAGGTCCAATCAGGAACAAGAATACATCCTGATGTACTTCCTGCTTGTATACTTGCCTACATCCAATCAGGGACAAGAGTACATGCTAACATATTTCCTGTTCATGTACTTCCCGCCCACATGTGATCAAACACATCTGGTGCAGGTGGGTCAAACGTGCTTGTTTAGGGGAGTGAAAACATGTGGCTCATTATGTCCCATAAACAACAGACTCTAGCATTTCAGGAACTCTCTGTCCTTGGGCAAGGGGCTTGGAGATCAGAGACATTTTGTTTCATGGACCTCTTAGGCATAGTAATTAAAAGTTAAAATATAATTTGGCTCTCACCCTTTAAAGACTTAGCGCTGATACTGACAAGATCACACTCATGTTATACACTGTATACTCAAAACTAGCAACTTTCTCTATCCAGTGTTCTTGAAGCCTGGCAGTGCCTCAGGCAGGGGTCTGGGTAGACAACACTGGGCCATGGAATTTTTTTTTTTTTGAGAAGAAGAGGTGGTATTATGATATGTGCCATTTGTTTAGGACAGAAAGGATGCTGGTCCTGCCTGCCTTTTCCCAATCTGCAACAAGTCTTCACTGTCCATGTGTGACATGGGCCATTGGTGCTTCTCAGGGTCTCATCTGCCATCCCCTTCATTTCCAGTGTGCAAATATGTGTGGGTGTGGTACAGTGTCTATACATTGAGGGAAAAGGGTTGGTAGAGGTTTGTCTGTGTGATACATAGCTTGTTTCGTGTAATTTATCATGTGAACATTTAAGAAAATATTTCTATAATTGGTTCTTTAAAAGAAAATGTTAAGTATGATGGTTCACAAGTCCTGGATCCCTAACTGAGATGCCACTTACAGTGAGTGGCCACTGGGAAATCGAGAGTTGATTTTCTTTAAGGGTGTGGCCGCTGGTGCCTCCACCATGCTCCAGTGGGTGTGACCCCTGGTGGGCCTATCATGCTCTAGTGGGTGTGGCCCCTGATGTGCCCACATGCTCTAATGGGTGTGGCCGCTGGTGTCTCCACCATGCTTCAGTGGGTGTAGCCCCTAGTGGGCCCACGATAGTCCAGAGGATGGTCCCTTCACATGAGTATGTGGGCACAAACTGAACTGGGTGAGTTATTTTTCAAAAGAGAGAGAAAGGAAGGAGAGAGGAGGTAGAAGGTGGGGAGTGGATCTGGGAGGAGTTAGGAGGAGGGTCCAGGGTGTGATCAATATACACTGTATGAAATTCTAAACAAATTAATAAAGGTCGTATATTTTTAAAATGCTAAATACTAACACAAAATAAATAGACAAATTAAGTGTACTTTACTATTACTTGGCAATTAGCTGTTGTTTGCTGAGAAATTTTGGAACTTTCCCCATCTAAGATAACAATCTTTTTTAACATCTGTCACCAGGTGCCAAGTATCAATCTGTACACTATTGAGTTAACACACGGGGAATTCACGTGGCAAGTGAAGAGAAAATTCAAGCACTTCCAAGAGTTTCATAGAGAGCTGCTCAAGTACAAAGCCTTCATCCGAATACCCATTCCCACGAAAAGGTAACCACGGCGAACTAACAGTTACCCCACTATGCAGGAATGGGAGTGCGTTTTATTCTGTTCATAAAATGTCCACTTGGGGTAGACATTTTCAATTGCATAGCTCTTTTGAAAGTGAGCCACCTCAGCTGCATACGTTGGTGAAAGTCTGTGACTCCCAGTGCTTGGGAAAAGGGGACAAGAGGAGTTCAAGGTTAGTCTTGGCTACTTAGTGAGTTGGAGGCCAGGCTGGGCTATATGAGAATGTTTTAAACATTGACAGGAATGAAAATAATAAATCATGACATGAAAGATAATAGAGATAGTCAAAAACAGTGCAATAGCTGTTTAGCATGTGTCTGTATTGTAGACATACTTTTAGAAGACAAAATGTCAAAGAAGAGCCCCGAGAGATGCCCAGTCTGCCCCGTTCATCAGAAAACACAATGCAGGAAGAACAGTTCTTTGGCAGGAGGGTGAGTCTTTCTCTGTTCTGCTGCTTTATGGAAATGTAATTGTACTTATTACTATTTGTGTGTGTGTGTGTGCATGTGTGTGTGTGTGTATACACACCCATGCACACTCATAGAAGGTGTATGTAGTGATTAGAAGACAACTTGTGAAATCAGTCCTCTCCTTCCATGTTTTCATGGCTTATCAAGATGAAGCCCAGGTCTTGAGGCTTGTGTGGGAAGCCCCTTTACCTGCTGAGCCCTCTCTCTGGCTCTTGCGCAGTCTTGAAATCCTTTCTCAGCATTGTAAGGACCTAGCACCTACGGAGGGGGATGTGGTTGATGGCCCCAACCCCAGGCTGACTGACAGCTGGCTTGGCTTCTCTGGAACTTAGACATCTCCTGGTCTCCCAAGCCAAGGAGGAGGCAGAGTTCTTGTCAGATGATGGACAGCATATTCCAAAAGGTTTTGAGAGTCACTCCTAAAAAGCAGACATTTCCACCCATATATTTGATTTCTAAGAGTTCATTTTAAATATATGTGAAAAACCATTCCTCCTCCTTAGATGGGGTGGTTACAGCCTGAAATAGCAAGATGGAGCACAAACAGGAGGGAGAAGACGAGGCCAAGGACATTTCTGCCCACCCTGCTTCAATGACACTACTGGTAGCAGGGGATAGATTTTTATTAGCATATTAGTAATTCTGTCAGTTTTATCAGTTCAGTTTTGGAATCTGAAATGTGTATGCTGCAGAGAACAGAGGCCACCAAACTAGTCTACATGCAGCCATCTTTAAAATAAATTCAGAAACCTGACTCTTGTGGGCAATCCTGTTCTACTAAGTACAGAAGAATAAAACCACACAGCTAGAGGCTTACTAGCTTTAAGATGAGCACTGCAGTCATACCAGGAGAGGAGGAGCCTCTGGACGTGCCCAGGAGGGTTCTCTGGATTAGGCTCACTGATGGGAAGAATGACCTTCACCAGGAGTGCCCATGGGCTAGGGCTCAGGACTGAATAAAACGGAAAGAGCTAACTGAGCTCCAGGTTCCCCACTCTGCCTGATGTGAGTGCTGAGAGAGCAGCCAGCCTCCCATTCTTCTGCTCCACGGTGCCCCGTGTCCGCTCAAACTGCAGGCCAGAATAAACCCTTTCTTGTTGGGTGTTTTGTCACAATAATGATGAAAATAACAAATGCAGAGACCTAAGCATATTGAAAGGTAAATATTAATAGCAAGAAGAGCTTTAACTAACATCCCTAGAGAAGGATAGGTGTTACACCTCACTGCGTAACCATAGTATAATAAAATGATTGACATGTTTAAATGAGACCTGATCTCATCATTGTAATTGTTTAAATTTTCCACAGACATGATTGTGTTCAACTGTATCCAAAATATATTTTTTTTTGTAGAAGCAACTGGAAGATTACTTGACAAAAATCCTAAAGATGCCCATGTACAGAAACTATCATGCCACGGTAAGTACCCTTCAGTGGTCTTAAAGGAACCTATGAGATCCTAAACTGTAGTTAACGTTGAGTAATTTCACAAACATAAGTGCTTTGGGTTCTTGAGCTGCACTAAATTAATAAATGTAAAATTGCATTGGCAGTTGATCTGGCTCCAGTTTACAGTGATGACACTGCTGTGTTTAAAATACTGAGTAGAACTCGGTGTATCTGCACCAATAGATCCAAATGAAGTTGGAATGCTAAATCAGCCCTCTCCTCCCCTCAGGTTTTTAGAATGAAACAAACATTTCAGTGCAAATTATCAAGCAGAGTTGCACACACCTGGATTAGATGGAGCCTAATTTCACTGCCATCTGATTGGTGCTTTCTTCTGAAAGTGAGAAGCATGGGAAAACCGGGGAAAGAAAGACCTCTTGCAAAATATAAGTAAAGGGAGCCAATGGTAGGGCTGAGAAGGGCCACAGAGGCTGAGCCTGGAAGGCCTGCAGCCAGCCAGCAGGAGGAAGCAGGCTTTGCAGTATCAGCAAACAGAGCTTTGCTTCCCAGAGGCCCTTGAATGGGGAGTGGAGTGTTTTTAAAGGATTAGCTTTCAGTTCTGCTGAGGTCTGAACAATGGTGAATGCCCGGATTATAATGTTTCTCTCTGGTAGCACCGACTGAGGTTGGCTACACGGAAGTGTTGCATGTAGAATGTGTGAGTCCGCACAGGTGTGCCTTGGCCTCCTCCTCAGAGAATGGTGACTCATAAACACAGGGACTGAAGAGGGGAGAGGAAGGGAAAGTGCCTGGCTCTGCTGTTTCCTGTGCAAGAGCTTCCCCACTACTGACTGCTGGGCCAAACACACCCAGATGGTCCCTGTTTACACACATGGCCTGACCTAGGCTTCTGATGCTTGTGTGGTGGCCTACAGTGAGGTGGTCATGCACTTGAGGAGCCTGTGATGGCCTGCAGTGAGGTGGCCATGGATTTGAGGAGCCTGTGGTGGCCTGCAGTGAGGTGGTCATGGACTTGAGGAGCCTTTCAAGGCTTGGTAATCCTGGCATCTAGCAGTGTGGGTCTCACCTGCAGGCTCTCAAGAGAAGGATGGTGGGAAGTCCTATTCCATCTAGGATTTAAGAATTTGTGATGTCAACAGATCCCACTGTTTTAATCAGAAAAGCAGTTCCCAGCCATGTTCTCTGAGCTCAGGAGTGCTGTCCCTTTGATTTCAGACCTGAGCACATGTGACCTAGCACCCGCCCTCCCTCTCTCTTGCTCCTCTGCCTGTGACTTGACCTGCATCATTTCTTTTGGCTTAGAGCAGTTCTTGCTGAGTCGGTCTTCTCTTTCCAGCTGCGTTATTACATTTAAGACTGTAATGTGTAGCAAAGGACATGTATATTTTTAGAAGATGTTTGGTTTAATTACTTTTCCAGTCACAGAAATCTTTCCAAATTGAAGCCACGTTATATTTATAAACCCCAGGGTACCTTATTAGTAACACTTTTGGAGGAGAAAAGCTAGCTCTCAACCTAATGAATGTACTCTTCCCACTTGTTCCTGATGGTTGACCAGATAGTCCCTACAATAGCCGAATCCTTCCTAATGATTCAAGCTAGGGTACTATTGATATATCTTAATTTGCTAGCATTTCCGTTCATGGTAAATTTCACCCAGCCTCAAGACTAGATACACAGGCAGCCTATCATTTTGTAAAATCAGATTACTGTCTATGTGTTTCCTGTAATAACTGATGAATATTTAAAGTCCCAAATGTAAAGGGAACATTGCAAGTTATTTATTTATTTTGCAATGTAACATGCCTCTACTTTATTAAGCAAGCCTGTTTGAAGTTAACTCAAGGCTTTTGTTTTGGTGTGTGGTATATGCATGTTTAGAGGTTCACTTGAGTACATGTGTAGAGGTCATATGTCCACCTCTATGTCTTTCCAACTGACTTTTGAGACGTGATCTCTCACTGAACCTGGAACTCAGTAGTTAGCAAGGTTGGCTAGCCATGGACCTCCCTCCTCCCAGATCTGGGATACAGGCATTAGCTGCCGTGCCCAGGGTTTTATAAGGGTACTAGGGATCTAAACTCAGGTTCTCATGTTTACAAGATAAGTATTATATACCCACTAAGCTGTGTCCTCAGCCCTTAGTTCAGATCTTTGAGACGAACCACCAGCCATAAGTCAAGGGACTGGATAGGATGCATGTTTAACTCTAGGACTGTGCAGGTCTATATCTAAGGGCTGGGGTGTAGCTCAGTTTATAGAATGCCTGCTCTAGGTTCGAGTCCCCGAACTTCACAAGCCAGTAGTGGTGCTGAATGCCTGTAATCCCAGTCATCAGGGGCAAGAAGGAAGCAAGAGAATCACAAATTCAAGGTCATCTCCACCTACATAGTTTGAGGTCACCCCGGGCTAATTTCACAAAGCTGAGACCCCCACTTCAAACAAACAAGCAACAAAATTAACATGCTGTCTTTGGAACCTGTATTTCTAACAGAAGTTTGGGTGATTCTGATCAGGAGGATTTGGGAACTAAATTGTCATGCTTTGCCTTATTTGGGCTTGGGTGAAGTACTTCAAAGGCCCACGAAAGGTTTCTGTTACAGTGTTGGTTTATGGGGATTTAGCCAGACAGATGGAGCAGCGCTAGACCTCCAAGGCTGGGGTCTGGTTTGCTGAGAGGCTTTTGGAGCTGGCCATGACAGTTCTCCCCTTCCTGTTACACCGTCCTTTGTTGATTTCCCCCAGGAGCATGGGACATCTTCTGGTTTTATGTCCTTCTTCTAGCTCCCACAGAGTAACCCAGCTTTTAAGGGGACTCAGATGTCAGGCTCCCCAGGGAGATTGCCTCATTAAGTTCTCCATGATAATTTGTAAAACAGCCAAGCAGGTGTCAATGCAAAACTGCAGCGCTCACCTCAAAGAGAGTAATTTTGGGGCCAAATATGACTGATCATGTGCTGGTAACACAGCGTTGGGCTTCCCCAGACCCCATGTTCCCCCAGGGAAGTGGTTATGTGAGATCGCAATAGTTACAGAATGAAGAAAGTCCTCAGGACAGCATTTCCCTCTTTTCATCATCATGTTTGAGAACTATCACAGTGTGTTTTACTTCTATTGACACACACACACACACACACACACACACACACACGTCGCTATCTGACTGAGCTGTGCAGGGAGAAAACTGCAGGAAATCTTGTGGTCTGAGATTTTTCTGGTATTGGATGGTAGAATACACAATTTGAGCATTTTAGGTGCAAACTTGAAAATGTTTTTCTCCCAGGGAATTAAAGGAAGTGGGATAAGTAACAGTAACTGTTGTTCCCCTTAAGATTAAAACCGAGACATAGAACAAAATGTCCAGTTTCTGAGAAAAGGCCATAAACTGCTGGCAGCCCTTGGCAGTTCGGACTGTAGGTCAGTCATGAGCCCTCTGCTGAGGTGACTTCTCTCCAGGGTGGGGATTAGCTTGAAACGTTAGATAAAACACTATAAACACCTCTCAGATCAATAATTTTGAGTTCACTTCTTCCTCCTTTGTAGGGCAAATAAAATTAACTGGAGGTGAGGAATAGGTAAGGAATAAAGAGGCATGGTTTCCATAGCAACGGAGAGAAGCTGTGCTGGCTTGAAAGGTTACCTTTTCACATTAAGTGGTTGTGTGTTGTTTTCCACGGCCGCGGGGAGGAGTGCACACACGACCATGAGCTTTGCCCACCCTCCCTTCTCTCCATAGAGTGGATGTCTTAGTCTATAGCTGTGTAAGCTGGTGTGTACAGGAGAGAGGCTTGGAGTACCTGGTCCTGCCTCTCTCCATCTGAACCTGCATGCGGTTCTGCTGGACGTTCTTGTCTTCCTGTGTCTTACAGCTTCCTGTTTGGCCATCTGTAAAGTGTTGTTGCTACTTGTGGCATGAAAGGGGCCTCTGAATATTGCTCTCCCTTATAATACAAACCAAGATGCCCGAAAAGGACAATGTGATGTGATCGATAGATCATCTCCACGGCAGTTGCTTGTTGTCATGGAAACCTTTGTACTCCCTCATTTCCCACATTTTGCTAGCCTTTAAGTATCCACTTGGTAAGGCACAGTGGCATTTTGTGCCAGAGACCCCCTTCCACCCAGTGCCAAGAACATTTTTCGTTGAATTGGTTGCAACTGCTTCTTGCAAAATGAAACCAAGACAATATTGATTAGTTTTTTACTCAGTAAGTCATGATAAATTGGTTTTAAGTCTTGGTTTGAGAAGCACCTGTCTCAGCAGAGGACCAAATTCTTACTTAGCATTGTCAAAACACTGAGGATGTTAAACAACATAATCTTTTTAAAGTTTTGTGCTTTTCTAATTAGTTTTGCCTCTCACTTCAACTCTGCACATTTGTTTTCAATATGATTAAGTCTGTATTAGGATGCTTAAGGCTGGGGAGCTCTCACAGCTGGCCCTTCCCCCGTTTCTAGTCAACCTTTGGTAACTATCAAGAAAAACCTTCTTTGTTGTTGTTCTGTAGTGTTTATTTATTTAAGTGCATGTGTTTATGAGTGAGTGAGTGTGTGTGTGTGTGTGTGTGTGTGTGTGTGTAGGTTTGGGCATATGTGTTCCACCACACGCCCATGAAGCTCAGAGGACAACTTTCACGTGGCTGCTCTCTTCTTCTATCATGGGACCCGGAGGTTGAACCCAGGTCCTTAGGCCAGTGCAGCAAGTGCCTTTACCCACAGAGCCATCCTGCTAGCCCTTGTGTGGGCTTTTTGAAACAGGGTCTCATTATGGAGTCTTAATTAGTCTAGAATTCACTATATATACACCAAGGTGGCCTCAAACTTGTGTAATCCTCCTGTCTCAGTTTTCTGAAGAAAATTCTAAATTTTAAATTACCATGCAAGTGAGATGGCTCAGTAAGTAAAAGCACTTGCCATCAAGCCTTATCTCCAGGACTTACACACAGTAGGAGAGGGCCCGTTCCCAAAAGCTGAAATCTGACCAACATACAGGAGAGCCTTATCTCCAGGACTTACACACAGTAGGAGAGGGCCCGTTCCCAAAAGCTGAAATCTGACCAACATACAGGAGACATGGCAGTTGAGTACACACATACACACACACCAAATAAAACTATTTTTTAAAGAAAATATCTATGTATTAGTGGACATGTGGTTCCCTTAGGTTTTTTGCTTGTTTGTTTGAGGCAGTGTCTCATGTAGCCCAGGCCCGCCTCATGCTTGCTATGTAACAGAGGATGAATTTGGCTGAGACCAAGGTCTGGAATTACAGGCATTCAGTGCCACACCTGTGTTGTAGAATATTAGTTGAAGATGTGTTACATTTGTTTATGCTGTGGGGTATTTGTTTAATGGTGCAAAGATGTGTTGCATTCTTTTATGTTGCATTTGTTTAACTCTGTGAAGCTGTGGTTCTTTGCCTGTCTAAAACACCTGATGGTCTAATAAAGAGCTGAATGGCCAATAGCTGGGCAGGAGAGAGACTATGGCTGCCAGGCAGAGAGAATAAATAGAAGGAGAAAAAAAGAACAAGGAATGAGGGAAAAAAAGGGGAGGAGGACGTAAGGGGTCAACCATCCAGTTACACAGTCAGCCATGGAGTAAGAAGTAAAGAAAGGTAAATAGAATAGAGAAAGGGAAAAGCCCAGAGGCAAAAAATTGACAGGATAATTTAAGAAAAGTTGGCAAGAAATAAGTCAAGCTAAGACTGGGCATTCATAAGAAAGAATAAGCCTCCGTGTGAATTATTTGGGAGCTGAGGGGTGGGCCCCCAAAGAGTAAAGAGGAAAAAAAATCCAGCCACTCCCTGTTTACTGCTTGTTATTGATTTTTTTTCTTGTTGGTTTTTGAGACAGGGGCTTGCTGTAGCTTGCACAGACATTTCCCTTAGCCTCCTGACTTCTGGAGTTACAGATGTGTGTACCACATGCTGGGCTTGCTTTCAGAATCGTTACTTCCATGTCTGATTCTTCCATTTACAAGTTCTGTTAAGTTACACAAATTAGCTGTCCCCCAGTAATGGTTTCTTCAGATGTAAACCGGGATGGAGATTTTCTGTCTGCTCCGTGGAGATAAATTGAAAAGCTATGGTTTAGGATTCTAAAAGATTTTGGATCTCATATTTACAATCTATCATTTCTAAGTAGATTTTCCAATTGATTTTTTCACAAATCAGATAGAAATTGTGCAGAGCTGAGTCATTATGTTTTATATGAGAAATGAAAACCAAAAAACTGGGCTTTCAGAATCCTTATTTTCAAAAGTGCCATGTGTAAATATATTCATGTAGGGAATTTTAAAAGTCCTTTAAGTCCTTTTAAATTTGAAAAGTTTACTTTCTTCAAAAAGACATCCAGGAATCTCGAAAGTCCTGACAGATTGGAGACAGTTCTTTTTTTTTTTTCTCAAAGTTGATGTTAGATATTTTTAAATACATAAACATTTCAAGGAAAACTGCTGTTTCCTTTTGTTAATCACAGTTAGAAGCCAGGTACAGATTCCTCTGACCATCCAGCCCTGCCCTGCTCTGTGATTTATGACTACCATGTGACTAGATGATTCTCCCACTGGAGTCTGTTGCTTATGTAATCTCCAGTCTGCTTTCCCCGTCCTGGGTGAATATCTTTTCTGTTAAGGGTTTCTGTTTCTTGTGGCAAGAGATAGCATTGAACTCCTGATTTCTCTGCCTCTGCCTCCCCAGGACCAGGATTACAGGTGTGTCGAACTTTGATCAGTTTATGAGGAGCTGGGGAGAGAAGCCAGCCCGCTGCCACCTGAGCTACATTTCTAACTTGTCTTTGTTTTCTATCTGGCTATTACTGACCCGGCCCAAGCATCACTGGCACACCTGGGCTTATGATGCTTCAAAAAGGAACCTGTGCATTGGGAGCATCCCATGTTCCGCTCTATTTGCTGCAAACACTTTTGAGACGAACCCCTGGCCTGCGCTAAGCACTGCAAGTTGTAAATTCCCATGTCTCACTGCCTCCCTCTTGTTGGCAGTGTGCCCTCACCTCACTATCCACACGCAGGGAACTCATTGGAAAGAGGTGAATGTTGATCTGGGTACACACGCGATTCCAGCACTGAAGCAGGAGGACCCGGGGTTTGGGATTATTCTGGGCTACCTAGGTAAGACTTGTCTCCAAATCAAAACAAAACAACAAAACACCACACACACACACACACACACACACGTGCGCGCGCGCATGCACACACTCACACAAAGAGAGAGACAGAGACAGAGAGAGAGACTGAGAATGCAAACAGAGATGAATGTTGAATGACATTCTTTGGTCTAACTTGATATCAGTTCTACCGCCCCTTACTATATGGTTTTAATGGGTTAGTTTCCCTAAACCATGGATTGGCAGAATCTTCGTGCCAAATTGAGTTCACAGATTGTTTTTATGGGTTCTCTTAAGAATAGCTTTTGAAACTTTCTTCCTTCCTTCCTTTCTTCCTTCCTTCCTTCTTCCTTCTTTCCCTCCCTCCCTCCTTCTGTTTTTTCTTTCTTGAGACAGGGCCTCATGTAGTCCGTGCTAGCCTTGAACTCACTGTATAGCTGAGGATGACTTCGAATTTCTGGTCCCCAGATTTTACCTCTCCAGTAGCTGAAACCTGTTTGGGTTTTTTTGTTTGTTTGTTTGTTTGTTTTACATTTATATCTTATATTCACAAAGTCTCACTTGCTACTGCCACACCCATAGACTGTATACCCCAAGTCTATGTTCACATTACAGAAAAAAGCCGTGCATTTGTAACAAGGAGTCAAGGGCCCACAGAGACCAAAATATTTGTCTGTATTTGTTGTTTTGCTGTAAAAAAAAGTTCTACCTATGCTTGTGTTAAGTGTCCTCTCCTTTTGATGCTGGGAGATAGCAATACTAAAGGGTGTTTAAGAGAGCCCGTGAAGAGCCGCTTAATCCAGTGTGAGCATGTAAAAAGCCCTCAGTAAACTGTATCAGTAAGAGTCATTATCGTCCATCCCAACTCACGGAGGGGTCATTCTGCCGGCGGTGGCTCAACCAGGAGGCCCAGATTCTCCAGAACTGAACTTGAGGGGGGAAAGTTCAAGGCCTGGGCCACTGAGTGACTCCAGGTCCAGCTGGACTACTTAGTGAAACCCGGTCTCAAAGGACAGAGGCCTGGAATGTAGCTGAGTGGCAGAGCCCCTGCCTGGTGTGTGTGAAGACCACTTGGACTCCTGGTGCGGGGAATGCTCTGCAGCACTTGATGCTCTCTGGCCTCCTAGGAATTTTCATCATTCCTTCTTCCTTTTCCCTACAGCTCGACTGCTTCTGTCTGTTCTTTCCCATTCCCCGTCCCCCACTTCCACGTGCCCAAGATTAGTCCATCTTCCAGAACCCTGGCCATCCTATCTTCACACATGCTTTATTTTGTATACATCGTGCCATGAAACCCTCTCCTGTAAAAACAACTGTTGGGAATACGCTCGCCCTCTGCAGCCTCCAGAGTGTTCTGTCTCTCTGTCCACCCCCCTCCTCGTGTGCACAGCACTTTTGTTCATTATGCAATTCCTTTTCATCATTTCTTTTCCGATGCAAAAGCAGAGTCTTTTATTGAAGTTATTTAACGAGCTAAACCCATTAGTTTGGGCCCTTCATCCCTCCACCATGGCGGATGGCTGGAGAAAGACCCCGAGCAACCTCGAGGCAGGGATCTTAAAGGGCCGCATAAGGGGAGTATCTAGGGGTATGCAACAGTCTCTGGATTGGTGTGCTTCCAAGTTTGGATGACCTGCCCCGTGTAGATTGGTCAACTGGTTGTTATGACTCATAGGCCCTCCCAGGGCGCTGCAATTCCTTCCATTTTTTCTTTTTGGAAACAGTCTCATGTAGTCCAGACTGGCCTTGAACACACTTCACTGTGGAATAATTTTAATCTTGAATTCTTGGTCATCTCAGTCCTTGTCCTGAGAACTGGGTTGCAGGTGTGCACTGCCACACCCTGCCTTATGCTCAGCTCTTTCTTTGTGTGATGCTGCTGTCATTGACCCATTCAGTCTATAAAGCGAACCAAAGCACTTACTCCATATGGTGGACCTAATACACAGCTTACATGCCTCATAAATGTCTTCTTTTTCCTCTTCCACTCCGTCTCCCCACCCCTCAATGTTTTCTTTCCTTTTGATTATTTTGTTTTCTAAAGTGTTTTTTGTGGTTTCTTTTTTTAGACAGAGTTCCTTGATGTAAGCCAGCTGTCTTTCATTCATGATTTGGGACCAAAGGGCCTGTAAGTTTCAGCGTTGGGTCTTTACAGAGAAGTGTGAAGAAGCTGGTGGGTATGAATGCCTGATGCCATAGCTGGTGACAATGATGGGGCAGCTAGGCCTTCTTGGGGCTTCTCCCGCCGGAATAGAGTGAGATGCTCATGTGGAGCACAGCGCCCCCTGCAGGAAACAGTAGCAGCAGCTCTCTAATCTCCCTGGTGCCGACAGCACCTCTTGTTAACCCACCAGTGGGAACATTCAGTGCACACAGTCAGTAGTCTCACAGTGGTGAGGGATCAAATGCATAAGACACCTTCTCCCAGTCACTTATGCCAGGTATTACAACTCCTTTAGATGAGGGTTTAAAAGGAATACTTTGTAATACATGTTGCATAAATAGGTAGGGAATTTACTCGGTGACTATTTTTCCTTCACAATATTAGGGCTTGCTCATACAAAGGGTTTACCCTTTTGAGTGTTTTTAAATTAGTTTTAGTTATGTATCCATGTATGTTTGTGTAGGTATGTGCATACAAGTACAGGTGCCTCTACAGAGTTCAGACGAGGCTGATCTCTGGACTTACAGAGCCCAATGGTGTGGGTGTTGGTCCTCCGAAAGAGTACTGGGTGTTCTTACTGGGTGATCCACCGCTCCAGCCCCAGAGTTTACACTTCAATTTTAGTTAAGTGCAAAGCTAGTAGTTATTTAAAAATTATTTTTCTTAAGTTATTATTGCACATCTTTCAAATTAGGTTTTTTTTTGTTTGTTTTTGTTGTTTGAGACAGGGTCTCATAAAGCCCAGGCTCGCCTACAACTCTTTTATGTAGCTTAGGATGACCTTGAACTACTGATTCTCCTGTCTACCAGCCAAATGCTGACATGATAGGCTCATGCTACCATACCCAGCTAAAAATATCACCAGCTGCATAGCCAGTAACTTTGGTCTACTTTCTTTCTATGGCTTGATCCATAGAATTGTGTGTGAAGCCAAATGTGTTAGACTCTGCAGCCACAGTGGCTTCAGGGAGGATTTAGCCTTAAGATCCAGAAGCCAGGGTGCAAAGATCCTACATCGTTTCTGACAGATTCAAATGCCACAAGGGCTACATTTGACCACGGCGCCTATAAGAGTCTCTGCTGTTGAGCCCAGGCTGATAAAGAGAGCAGTGAGCAAGTGGAGGGTGAGGGAGGGGGAGAGGGAGATGGGAGTATTATGAGAGATGGTTTATATAGTAACCGGCTGCGAGGCTGAGCAAGGCAAGTATGAACTGTAAATGTGAACTTGATGGCTTAATGTGATGTCTCCTTCAGGGAGGGGATGATCATGAAAAGATCCGGGGGACACAGGATACCAGGTTTGAATTGCTGTGGCCAAGGAAGAGCCTGCTACCGGTGGTCAAAAAGGTAGGACCTGAGAGTTTTATGTATTTGATTGAATAAACTGAGCATTTAGGTGTTTATATACTAGCTTTGCTTGCTTTGTTTTGAGTTGTAGCCTAGTCTGGACTCAGTCATTATATGCCTACTTGAACCTTGAACTCCTGGTTGTAGCAGTACTTTCTTGTTGGGGACCACCAGGCCACAAACAATAACACGGAGACTTATTATTAATTAATGAATGCTTGATCTTAGTTTAGGCTTGTTCCTAACTAGTTCTTGTAACTTAAATTAAACCATATTTTTTCATCTGTGCTCTGGCACATGGTCCGTTGCCTCATCTTCATACTGCCCAACCATCCTCCTCTCTGTCTGTCTGGCAACTCCACCTTTCCTCTCCCCAGAGTTCTCTCTCTCTCTGTCCGGAAGTCCCATCTATACCTCCTGCCTGGCTACTAACCGTTCAGCTTCTTGTTACACTGTCACAGCAGTGCATCTTCACACAGTGCACAAACATCCCACAACACCCGGTACTCCTTCCTCCACCTCTCAAGCGGGGCATTTACAGATGTTTACCAGCATGACCAGCTCTCAGATGTGATCTTGCATCTCCCTAGAATGTAAGCAATGGTATAGGAAAGCCAGAGACTCCCACATGCGCTCTTTCCTTACTCTCAACTGTACAGAACCTTGGGCAGAGGCTGAGGTACAAGGAGCGTGTTAGATGTTGTGAGGAAGCAGTAGCAGAGGAGGCAGGAAGAAAGAACAGGGAAGGGGGCTCCAGAGCATCATGGGTAACACAAGTTCCCCATGCAAACAGGAAGAGGATGACGTTGCAGGACTTAGCGAACACCAGGGCTTCTCTTCTCCAATGGTGGCCTCTCCTGGAAGTTTTCCCAGCCTCCTGTGGCTCTGCTGGCCTCTCCTCCCCTTTTTCCTAAGTCATCTGCTGTGTGCCAGCCACAGCTTTCTACACGTAAACTTTAAACCCCAGTGATTTCTTTTTCTTCCCGGAGACTCTGGGCTGCCAGAGTTCTGCAGCCTGTGAGCAGACCAGACTGGAGAAGTCAGTGGAGTCATCACTGGTCAATGCCACCTTGTTGGGATGAGTCAGACGTGCCAGTAACTAATGATTGAAGGAATCAGTCAACACTGAACAATGACAGTAGGTGTACTGTCACCTACCAAAGTAAAACACTCTACATGATTCCAATGCCATACAATGGATACAAATAATATATGCACATAGCAGGAGAATGCAACATTTAAGATAAGTCCATGCGTGAGTTCTTACTGAAGCTTTGAGCCACTGTAGAAGCAAGCCCTTGGGCTCACGGGGCTCTGAGGAAAGTGAGGTCATATGTAAGTGGCAGAAGTGGCGTGGATTTAAGTAATGATGGGTGATGTGGGGAGGACCCAGGCACTGTGGTGGCAAGGGATCTGGGATTGCAGGGTTGACTCAGCCCCAGGGGCCCCGTCAAAGGTCCCAAGGATTCAGTTCTGAGCTCTACCCCCTGGAGAGTAGACCACAGATGTTAGGGGACGATTTTGCTACTGATGTATACTTGTGAAGAAATCATGTTTCATTAAAAAAACAAAACAAAACTGTGATTCGTCCTGGAAGGGAATTTTGTCATTTTTAATTTGGTAAATGTGTGGGTAGAGACTGTCGCCTCACCGCCATATTTGCATGTGCTGAGTCACAGCTGACAAATCTCAGGTATCAGACATCATAAATAGATGACAGTGTTCAGAGGACAGTTAGTGTGGCAATCTTCCGTATGGCTTGACTGGTGTTTAGAGGGAATAGTTACTTCTAAAGGTGACGTTTATTCACAATGCTTAGTTTTCGATTTTTAGACTTTTTGGCTGGTCACGGTGGTGCTTGCCTTTAACTCCAGCACTGGAATTGGATTGAAACTTATAACACTCCCACTGCTTTGGCCTCCCAAGTGTTGAGATTGTAGATATCAGCCACCACACACTGCTGAGACCTTATCTGTCTTCCTCTTCCTTCCTTCCTTCCTTCCTTCCTTCCTTCCTTCCTTCCTTCCTTCCTTCTTTCCTCCCTCCCTCCCTCCCTCCCTCCCTCACTCCCCCCCCCTCTCTCTTTCTCTCTTTCTTTCTGGGGTTCAGTTCCATTTTGGTGTGCTGTCTGTCCCTCTAGGTGCATTGACCTTTGTGGTTTGGCCTGACCTTGATCATTTTCCTTTTAGTAACTGAATCATATGTACATCCTTTACTGTAGGCTGTAGTTGGCTGTTTTTTTTCTCTTACTCTTTGGGGGACCTGACACCCAACTCCTAAATAATCACAAGAAGACTTATTCTTACTTATGAATGCCTGACCTTAGGTTGTCTTGTTTCTAGCCAGCTCTTCTAACTTAAATTATCCTATCTATCTTTTGCCCCTGGGCTTTTTCCCTTTCTCTATTTATACTTTTCTTTGCTTCTTATTCTATGGCTTGCTGTGTAGGTGGCCCCTGGTGTCCTCTTCCTTTCCTTTTCTCCTGTTCCTGCTCCTCCCTCTTCTCCCTCTATTTATCCTTTCGCCTGTCTTGACATTGGCCATTCATCTCTTTATTAGACTAATCAGGTATTTTAGAAAGGCAAAGTAATACAGCTTCACAGATTTAAACAAATGCAACATATAAGAATGTAGCACATCTTTCTATTATTAAACAAATGTTCCACAGCATAATCAAATTTAACACATCTTCAACTAATAGTCCACAACGGTAGGCTACCTGCCAATCTCCTTGTTCCAATCAGGAAAGAGGCAGCCTACAGGAGGAGCCAAATGAATGCAGCAAGACTGTGTAGAAGACAGTGTAGATTTGTCTACATTGTTTCTGCTCATAAAGCCCACTGAGTACACCATGGCTCGTAGTTTTAGTAAAGAACTATTCTAGATTTCCTTGACATTTATTTTCTTATTTAGGGAAGGGCATGCGATCTTTAACTTTCCGCCCCTCACTGTGATCTTAGCTCATGTCCTGCTGCCATTGTACACAAACTTGTCCTCAAGCTCCAAGCGTTTCTTCATTCTGTATTATTGCTGTCTCTACTCAGCAGGATGACCTTCACCCTGCTCCACCTGGTGGCCTGCGTCCTACCCAGTTCTTTGCAGCTGGGACCAAGATGCTCCTCCTGCATCCATCACCCCTCCTCCCTTCTAGCACCTCCCCATTTATCGAAGAAGGTCCCGGCTTCTACCTCCACGGGGCTCACCAGCTCCTCTGGGAACAAGGATTTATGTGCTTTCTATTTGGGCTGCATTTACGCCACACCCTCTTTGTCACTCTACTCCATCATGAAGCTTTTGAGTATTGAAGGAAGCAGTTTTGAGAGCTGCTTCTGTTCTGGTGAACAACATTCATTAATGATCCCTATGCCGGAAATATTTTCCAACGACCAGCAGAATGTGTGGGGTACTGGATGTAGTTATTAAGTTTTCTAGACTCAGTTGCCTTTACGTTAGTTTGTGTGAACAAACTCCACCCTGTTGCATTCTTCAGTAAGGGGCTCCTCAGTGCTTCCTGTCAACCCTGGGACGTTCTTCCGAGAATAAATTCATTCTTTTTAATTGCTTGGTGTCCACACACAGAGTAGGGAAATCGACAGGCTTGTTTTTATAGTAAATACTCTCCCCCGTAGGAATCAGCCACACTACCCTGTGCGTGCTAGGCAGGCACTGGGCTGTCGAGGCGTGCCTCTAACTGTTGCTTCCTGGTGATCTTTAAAAGGTACAAATCCTCCAGGTGAGACATGGCATTAAGACTTGAGTAATAGTTGATTCTCTTACTTCAGTTATTCAGCTTTGAAACCTCCTGCTGTCTCCTTCCAGGTGGTTGATAGTGAAAGACTCTTTCCTGCTGTACATGAAACCGGACAGCGGGGCCATCGCCTTTGTCCTCCTTGTGGATAAAGAATTCCGAATAAAAGTGGGAAGGAAAGAAACAGAAACCAAATATGGACTTCGAATTGATAATCTTTCAAGGTAAATCTTTCTAATGTTTAAAACATATATTTCTCCCCGCTTCTTTAAGGCCAAAATTTTATCTAACCCATGAAAAAGGAGTAAATTATAGTTAAATGTTTATGATTGTTGCTTGGAGTTCATCTTCTATCAGAAGTAATGGAACTTGCCTTTGCCTGTGTGTGTGGTCACTCTCATTCATATGAATATTCATAATTTCTCTGTGTACATTGCAACAGGCATGCGTATCCCTCCTAATGCATGTTTGGGAAGCCATGTGAGCCTGCATGATGCTTGTGTATGTGCATGTATGTAGGGTGATGTGGGGTGAAACAGCGTGGAGCTTCCTACTTCTCTCTCAGAGGTAGCTCTTAGGATTGTTGCCTGTTTTATTAGCTTCCTCATCTCTGCTCCCCACACCAAGTGGATCCGTTTAAATCCATGGTTCCTCAGTCTCCTTCCAGGCTTCTCCGTTTTAGCCGACAAGACCCGCTTCTCTGTTTACTTAGGGCTGTTTCTCTCTGTGTTTTATTTGTAAGCGCCCCTCCCACAGCCTTTCGGCTCTGTGTGGGCAGTTCTCTTTACAGTCCCTTCTCACCGTTTATTTCTGCCTCCTCCCTCTTGCTTGTCTATTATTTATTCACTTATTTGTGTGTATGTGTGAGTCAGTCCTTTCTTTCCACTACGTGGGTCTGGGGGATGGAACTCCCTTCATCAAGCTTGGTGGCGGGTGTGTCTAACCACTGAGCTATCTTACTGGCCCTCCTATCTTTATTTTTACTACATGCATGTGTGTGGTGTATGTGTGACTAGGGGTACACGAGTGCAATGTCATACATGTGGAAGTCACAGGAAACTTTGCGAAGTTTCTTCTGCCTTTACATGGGTCCCAGGGATGGCACTTAGGTCATCAGGCTTGTCCTGCTTTTGTCTGCTGAACCGTCTGGCTGGCCCTCGTTCTATTTCTATGCTTGGAATAGTTTTCCCTCCTCCACCCCTAGGTCTCTGCCGGATACTCATCTCTCCCACACAAACATCTTCCCAGAACAGGTTGGCCCCAAGGGTAGGGGCAATTTCTGAGCCCTCCTGGCTGCATTGTTACACATGTTGGGGATGCTTCTCTCCCTATCTCCACACCACACCAGCCCTTCTGTTGGCCAGTGGCTTTCGAAGGCCAGCACCCATCTGTGAAGTACTGAGAGGAGCTGTTTGGATACTTTTGATCTTTATGAATAATGAATTATAGGATCTGTGCATATGGCCCTTTCCTTGTTTTCCATGAGAACTGCTGTATTCCCTGATCCCGGAACCACCAAATAAACAAAAGCAAAGCTCTGCCTTCTCACTCTATTCTGTCCCTATCAGCATGGCATAGGGCGGCTAGTGCTAATGCCTCGTCCTTTGAACTTCAGTTCTTAGTAACTTATTTTCACTCTTGGGAATAGCCATTCATTCTGACACTTGGGATAAAGGTTTGTTTTTTTCCTTCTGTAATCCACCAGAATTTATTCTCAATATTTTTAATTCTGTAACAAGTTAAGATATCTTGCTCAAATAACAGAAAAACCTAATGCAAACTGGCTTATTGCAGTTAGTTAGTCATGTTGGGTGATTAATTCTCAAGCTCAACTACATCATTAAGACACATTTCCTAGGCTTTCCTTAGCTGTGGAATCTGCCTCATCCTCAGACTAGTCTTCTTGCTGCAAGATGGCTGCTCACCACCCTCACTGCATACTCAGCAGGAGGAAGGGAGTCCTCACTGGGTTCTCAGATCTGCTCTCATGGGGAAGGACTGCCTTTTATGCCCTTGCCCCAGCCCACTAGGACTAGAGTAGTGGGGGACGCTGCTTTTCAGAGCTTTGCTGGATTCCAAGAAGAAGGAGATCTCCCCTAAGGGTAGTTGATGCAAAGGGAACTGTGTTAGAGGAACCAGCAACTCCGACACAAGTGTGACCTCACTCTGTACCTTCTCCACAACCCTCCTCATCTCCTGGTGCTGTTCAAGGTCTACTTCAACCCCCTTCCTGTATGTCTGCATGCTTGAGTGAGTGGGGAGCCCGAAAAGTAAGATCAGAGTGTTGTGATGAACTTGCTTTTTCAAATGTTCGTTAGCTAGAAATGTCAATTCATGTTCGCTGTGACGTTTCATCTTTAGATTTAAGAGCTAGAACTCAGAGTAAACCCCCAACACCTGCTTTTGCTTTCCTTTAAAGGACACTGATTTTAAAATGTAACAGCTACCGCCATGCTCGCTGGTGGGGAGGAGCCATAGAAGAGTTCATCCAGAAGCATGGCGCCAACTTCCTCAAAGACCATCGCTTTGGTTCCTACGCCGCTGTCCACGAGAACATGTTAGCTAAATGGTGAGGTGTTTCTGCTTACCAGAGTCCATCTAATATGATAATGGTTTAAATGGACCTGAATCAGCCTCAACATTAAACCAGCAATTTACTCAGTGATCTCCCAAGGTCTCTCCTTTCCTAGGCCATTGTAGGGCAGAGGATCATACTTAAAGGCATGATCTCAGTTTAGTCTTTAGTTCTGGAATTTAAGCATCTTCAATGGCAAACTTCCCTGCCATTAGATTTTGAAGTTTGATTTGTTTTGTGAGATAGGATCTAGTGAGACCCAGGTAGACCTTGAACTTGCAATGTAGGCAAAGATGACCTTGAAGTCCTGATCCTCCTGCGTCATCTCTCATGCTATGATTGTAAGCCTGCACCACTATGCCTAGATAGAAATCTGATTTTTAAAATCAACTTCAGGGCTGGGTACATAGCGCAGTTAGACAGTACTTAACTTAGCCTGGTTGGATCCCTACTACCCCTGCCCCCCCCAAATCCAGACATGGTGGCATGGGTTTGTAATCTCAGCAGCTGGAAAGTGGAAGCAGCGGATCATGAGTCAGAGGCCCCTGTAAGCTACCTGAGACCCAGTCCTAAAAAGAAAAGCAAAATGTCACCTCATGTAAGGTACAATGGGAGTTTAGCTACATCATTTATGTTTTCCACCCATGGATTTGAGCTGGTCTATTTTTAAGCTCAGATGAAAGCCCCATTTGATAAGGCAGCTCTCTGAGAGTGATTGACATGCTGTCCTCCAAGATTGCTTGGGTCTGTCTCCAAACTGCCTTTCCAGGTAATAGACCTTGGCAAGACCATGTTTGCAATCTTGTTTCCAGTTACTCCAAGGAAAATGGTGGTAATCTAGATCAGACAGGCAGAGCCCTCTATTCTTTGCCTTAGCCTAAGGTATGTTTACTTTTCTTTTTGTCTTGTTTTATAAAAATAAAAAAACATCAAAAGAAACCAAGGAACAAACCCTTTGTCTTCCAGGTATGTGAACGCCAAAGGTTACTTTGAAGATATTGCAGATGCAATGGAAGAGGCGACAGAAGAGATTTTCATCACCGACTGGTGGTTAGTATTTGTCCAGGAGAATGCAGTCTGGAAGCATGTTCAGATGTGTGTTATTGGAGAATTCCACACAATGGAAACCAGTAGCTATGAGGGCTTGGCCAAGCCTCAACCAACAAAATAGTAGACTGCAGCAGACAACTTTTCCAAAATTGTCCTTCAAATGTTATATTGGTCAAGTTTCTAATTGCAGTGACAGAAACAACATGAAGGAGGAAGGGCTTGTCTTGGCTCACAGTTTGAGGGTACAGTCCAGGGTACAGTCCATCATGCTGTGGTGGGGAGGCCTGGTGGCAGGCATATGATGGCTGTTACTTGGTATGCATGGCTATGAAGCAGAGGGAGATGAACCCCTGTGTTCTATGCACAGTCTCCTTTTTATTTAATCTGAGATGCCAACCCTTAGATGATGCTCTTCCACATTTAAGACGATTCTTCCCATTTCAGTTACCTCAATGTAAAAACTCCCTCACGGACCTGGCCAGAGCTTTGTTTCCAAGGTGATTTAGATTCTGATAAGTGGACAGCCAATGCTAACTATTGCAAAAGTCTCCTTAAAGTATTTAACTTGAGCGGTTTTGGATGCAAATGTTTGTGTAGATACACAACTGTGCAAGTGTGGCCATGGAGATGGGGAAGCCCATCCTCTCTCTCCATCTTTCCGTCTCCTACTATGTCCTCCACTCCATCCAGGGAACAGCTCCTGAACTTTCCCTTTGACACTGAAATAGTTGCTTTTGCTATTGAAAAGGACTGGGTCTGGGCAACTCTCCTGGTCTTGCGTTGGATTTTAACTGTTTTGCCTGTTGTGAAAATCACCATGGCAGTAATGATGCTCATGTTGAATCTCATATCTAAAGCTCATTAGTTCTTGGGGAGTGTAACCTGTGGAGCTGGTATTGGCATTGTATTTGTGGTTATCCATTGTCTTAGAACATTGAAGCCCATCACAGATAACAACACTGGCTGAGATGGAGACGAAAATGGCTGGAATATGTTCCCCTCAAAGGAACTGAAATGAATTTCTAAATTCATTCTTACCTCCCACCCCTGAGAGATACAGTCTTGGTTTGCTGTCTGGTTAGACTGGAATTCACTGTATGGCCCAGGCTAGCTTTAACTCACAGCAGTCCTCCTGCCTCAGCATCCTGAGTGCTGAGATTAAAGCACTGAAATTTTGCTTTTGTCTCTTTCTTACTTCTTTCAGATATTACTCATACATGAACTTGAAAATAGCTCCTTGATTTATTTGTTTAATCCTAGGTTAAAAGAAATGTGAAATCATTTTCTACTTCACTTCACTTATATGGGAACCTGTAGCTCTGAGTTCTCTTTCCCTATGTGGTGCTAGTGACATTTTGAGAGAGATGATTCTTTGTCGTTAGGACTGTCCTGTGGTACCTGTGGCCTCCCCCAATCAGCTGCCAATGGAAGGATCCCCATTCTGACAACCAGATAGAATGTTGTCACTGCCAAATATTAAATACTTGCTTCCTCAGCACTCATGAAAATAAGTCCAAAGCTCAATATCCCACTACATTCATACAATTATCTCTAAAACTTCAGCAAGGATGTGAATGAGGGAAAGGAGTTTTTCAACTGACACTGTATTTTCACGCAAGAAAGTAACACCTCTTTTGAAGGTTCTGGACAGTAAAATTCAGACTCATTTAAACGTCTAAGGAGCGGGAGCCTAAAGGAGAGTGAATTAGGTGCCCTTTGTTCCTGCAGCAGCCCTGGGCCCGCATCTTACCACAGCACACATTTGAAACGAAGCCTCCACGGTGGCCATTATTCCAGAGAACACGCAGCCGCCCTTTGTGGCTTTATTTATTAACCGAAGATTCCGCTAAACAATGAGCATATTCTCATGTACTTTTGGGGCTCTTCTTTACTTTTTAGAGCCAGCCCTCCTTTCCTATCCCCCCCTTTGCTCCCCCTCCCCCACTGCCTCTTTTCCTCTGTAGCTCTAAGGGAATTCCTTCTGGATCTCTAGGGTGTCTTCATCGTCAGAATCTTTTTGCAGTCTGGTTAAACAGTGCTTTTCATTCTGGTCTCCAGTACTTCTGAGGAGAGCTTTTCAGCAATATACTATTTTTCTCTTTAGTGCTTTCAAAAATTTCCTACTTTTTGGTTTCAGCAGTTTGGTTATATGATTTGGGGTTTATCTTGTTTGGTTCTCCAAGGCTCTTGAATTTTTTTTTTTTTTTTTTTTGGTTTTTTATGAGACAGGGTTTCTCTGTATTGTTTTGGAGGCTGTCGGTTCAGCCCGGCCATGAACTCACAGAGATCCGCCTGCCTCTGCCTCCCGAGTGCTGGGATTAAAGCTGTACGCCACCACCGCCCGGCAAGGTTCTTGAATTGATTGTCTTATATGTCTAGTCAAATTTGGGGAGGTCTTCCCACTGTTTCTTCCGATATAAAAAGTCCTCTTCCAAAACTTCCAGTTCTCGGGCCCTCCTTCATGTCATCTCACAGTCTCCAAGGCTAGCCTCTTATTTTTAAATGTTTTCACTCTTGCTTGTTGTATTGGATAATTCCTTTTCTCTAACTTGACATTTATTACTTGTTTTGTATGCATATGTAGGCTTGTGTATGTACATGTGCCACAGCCATCACATGTGGATGTCAGAGGACAACACGCAGGAAGGAGTCAGTCCTCTCTTTTCACCATACGGGTCCCAGGCCTCAAACCGGGGTTGTCAGGCTTGGTGGCAGACCCGGTACCCACTGAGCCACCTCTCCAGCCTCCGCGCTTAATAATTTCTATTTAGCTACCTTCACAATCTTCCCTTAGGAAGCGAAGTTGGTATTTTTGGTTTTTTTCCACTTTTGTGGCGATTGTATTTCAGTTTTATAATTTTCTGATTCTGGGTGTCTTCTGTTTCTCTGAGGTTTGTCCTCTTCCCATTCATCCTTAGATACAGTTGCATTTTTAAGTCTGATAAGGGGTTAAACTAGATGACCAGCCCAGTGAGATGGCTCAGTAGGTAAAGGTGCTTGCCACCACCATGCATGATGACCCGAGACCCAGTCCTAGAACTGCATGGTTCAAGGGGAAAACTGACTCTTATGAATTGTCCTCTGGGTTCCAAAGGTGCAGTGCACGCCCCCCCCAATATACAAGTAAATAAATAGATATGGTTTTATGGCTTTTTTTTTTTTTGGTTTTTCGAGACAGGGTTTCTCTGTATTGTTTTGGAGGCTATCGGTCCAGCCCAGCCTTGAACTCACAGAGATCTGCCTGCCTCTGCCTCCCGAGTGCTGGGATTAAAGGCGTGCGCCACCACCGCCCGGCGGTTTTATGGTTTTTTAAACACATGTAAATGGTGATAATCTCATTCAAGCTGGGTTTTTTTTGTTGCTGTTTTGTCCACTATTTTTAAAAATTATATTCTAGAAAATTTAACATGATGTAAGACTTAAGACTTCCTTAAATCTGTGGACAATTTTACAATTTTCTTTTGTTGTTGTTTGCTTGTCTTTTTGAGACACAGTTTCTCTGTGTAACAGCCTTAGCTGTCCTGGAACTTGCTCTGTAGAGCAGGCTGGCCTCAAAACTGAGAGATTCTCCTGTCTCTGCCTCCAGCATGCTAGGATTAAAGGCATATGACAAAACCAATAGAAAGTTGTATTGTCTAGAATGAAATTTAAAAAAAGTATTGGACACACAATAGCAACAACAACAAAAACCAACTTTTATGAAATAAATACCACTGGCTTTTTTTTTTTTTTTTTTGGAGAGTGTTTTCCTCAGCAGGCCATGGCCTCATTTGGATTAAGCAGAAAGCCCCAAGCAATATTTGGGGTGCTTAACAATTCCTTTTAGATTTATTTGCTTCATTTTTGTGTGTGTGTTTGCTGGCGTGTGTGTATGTACTGTATGCTGGCAGAAGGCGGAAGAGGGTGTCCAGTTTCCTGGGGTGGAGTTATGGGTGGCTGTGAGCTTTCATGTGAGTGCTGGGAACTGAACCTGGGTCCTCTGCAAGAATGACAAGACCCCTCAACTGCCCCTCTACCTCTCCATCCTCTAGGGGTGGAGTTTTAATGCCAGTTTTAGTCCCAAAGCCTTTGCTCCGCTGTTGTCTGCCCTATAATGTCTGCCACCTGGTGGTCAATCTGTGGCATGGCCACAATCTATCAGCTAATTCCTCAAACTCCTTAGATGAATTTTGCTGTGGTTAAATCTCCACAGGGACAGCTTGTGAATGAGCCAGGAGACCATAGACAGCTTCATGTCACTACTTTCCTGAGCTCTCCCCTCTCCACGGTCGCCTAACTGTTTGTTAATTCCTCACAGCTTCCCTTATTAGTACACTTGCTGGAAATGGGGGTTTTGACTCACCCAGCTGTGACATGTGACCCTGAAACATTGCTGTTGTCACCCTCTTGGGATCAGTTCTGCTCTGACTGGAATCGTCTCTGCCTGTGGGCTCTGGGTTGCCGCCCTGGCCTCTCCAGACAATCCTGTTCTTTCTTGTCAAGCTGCAACTAGGGTTCTCTGTGCTAATCCAGTCTGAGATTTTTCTTCAGACTAAATAACCAATAAACTGATTACATGTGCTGCAAATCCTTTTTCTGCTCTTCACTGAGCCTTCCAAATAACAAGTATTGCATAGTTTATTTAAATTTTTTTGTACTGATCTGCCTAGAGATCTTTATAAAATTATATGTTATGCATGTGTATACATGTGTGTGCACTTGTGTTCATGTACCACAGCACCCATGTGGAGGACAGGGGACAACTTGTAGGAATTGGTTCTACACAGGTCCTTGGGATTGAACTCAGGTTGTCAGGCTTAGAACTCTTACTCACTGAACCATCTCACCAACCTCTGTAGGGGTCCTATATGTACAAGTTGATATGTTTCTTAGTAAGCACTTCAAGTTTTTTTTAAGTATTTATTTTTATTTTATGTTCATTGGTTTTTTTTGCCTGCATGTGTGTCCATGTGAGAGTGTCAGATCCCCTAGAACTGGAGTTACAGGCAGATATGAACTGCCATGTGGCTGCTGGTAATTGAACCCTGGCCCTCTGGAAAAGCTGCCAGTGCCTTTAACTTCTGAGGCATTTCTGCAGCCTGCACTTAAGTTTTTTCATGTTAGTGCAAAAGGTAGCTTTTTGTACATTGACTTTATATCTTGTAACAGTGTTAAATTCACTTAGTGCTTGTAACCTTTTTCTAGATTTTTTTGGGGGGATTCATGACATCCATGCATGAAAATTATTTAACCTCTGCCTTTCAAATTAGTTTGATTTATGTTTTGTTCTCTTACCTTATTGCATTGCTAGAGTTTTTTTTAATGTGAATGGATATTGAATTTTGTTTATTTTCTCTGCATGTTTTGTTCTGGTTTTAATTTTTCTTCCTTTTTTCAGCTAATGTGAATTACATTGTTTTCCAAATGTTAAAGATAATTTTCTTTTAATTTTAAGGCAGAAAGTGTTTTTACTTTTTAAAGAATTTGAAAGTTTTATTTTCTATTATATATATTTCTTCTTGAGAATTTTGTTTGTTGAGACAGGATTTCTCTTGTAGACTTGGAGCCTGTTCAGAAATTCACTCTGTAGAACAGGTTACCCTTGAACTCACAGAGATCCACCTGCCTCTGCCTCCTGAGTGCTGGGATTAAAGGTGTACATTCTTGAGAACTTTATACACAAGCACAATGTAATTACTATAACCCCTCCATTGCATCTCAACCCCCTCCATCATATCCCCCTCCAAACTTCATGTCCTCCATTTTTAACCCACCGAGTCTAATTAGTGTCTTTCTGCGTGTGGATGTGGGTTACCCACCGGAGCTTGGCCAACTATACAGGGACCATGCCCCTAAAGAAAAAGGGCTGTCCTCACAGCCAGAAGCTGCCCACAGCTGGGGCAAGCTTTTAATCCCCACCCCTATGGAGCTTTGACAGGCTTGATATTGTGCAGATGACCAGAGCAACTGTGAGCTCATGGTGCTGCAGTCTGTCTGTCCAGGGAACACTTCCATAGCAGGTATGGCTCTTTCTGCCCACTGAAGCTGTTCGTATTTTTAATGGATGCAACAGCACATCTACGTGTGTGTGTGTGTGTGTGTGTGTGTGTGTGTGTGTGTGTGTGTATGCCTTCCTCTAATCCTTATCTCGTTTGTCTGCACCCTGTTGCTTCCCCTCAAGTAGAAGACCTCTTGGAGGCCCATGGTCCAGTACAGAACGCCATGGAATTAATTCTCTACTTCTCCTGCTCCAACAGGCTCCAATTTTGAGCAAACCTCATTGCAGAGGAGTTACATTGGATACATTGGATAGAGATTGGGCTTGCCTTTAGTCCCCAGGAAAAGGGTTGGGGCAAGTGTGACTCTGGGGGTATTCTTAACTACCTGAAGCTGGACTTACTAAGGGAAAAGAGCCCAGAACTAACTTTCGCCTTCACAGAATTTAATAATTTTGGTGTCCCTGATCAGAGAGCCCCAGGTTCCCACGGACACTGCCTTTATAACTGGAAGTCACTGTGTATACAAATATTTCAGAGGGTATTCAACTAGCTGTAGCTGAATGCCCATTTTAAGAGGTTTTTTTTCTGATTTAATGAGATACCCAAAGTTGAGCAATCCTGAGGTTGGGGAAATAGACTAGAAATTTCAGGGTTCTGGTTATCCCCTTAGTATTTAGCTATGTCTAAACCTCTCCAAGCATTTTGCTTACACAGCACCCATCTTACAGCTGCAAATGTGGTCATCTTTTTTCTGATGTGGTGTGTGTGTATGTGAGTGTGTGTGTCCGTCAAGGGGTAAACTTTCTCATTAACTCCATTTACCTTGTCAAATATCTTATGGTCCAGAATCAAGTCAGCTGTAGCTCCACAAACATAGAATATGTAAATTCAATAGTGGAAGGTGGCCATAACAGCAAAGAAGGAAATGGTAGAGAAACTGGGTGGATAGTCACTAATCTCTCTCTGTCTCTCTCTCCTCTCTCCTCTCTCTCTCTCCTCTCTCCTCTCTCTCTCTCTCTCTCTCCTTTCTCTCTCTCTCTCTCTCTCTCTCTCTCTCTCTCTCTCTCTCTCTCTCTCTCTCTCTCTCTCTCTCTCTCTCTCTCCATGTGTTTGAGATAGGATCTCATGTATCCCAGTTTGGCACAGGGGCTCATGTAGCCCAGAGTCCTCAAACTCTATGTAATTGAGAGTAGCTTTGAACTTGTGACCCTACTGCCTCCACCTCCCAAACGTTGAGATTAGGGGTGTGGGTCTTGAATTATTTTGATTGGACACAATTTCCTCTACGAAGTTGCTCGCAGCCTTGGGGCAGAGACCTGCCACAGTAGACTTGGTGGCACATGGCTAAGGCTGATCTCTGTGACACAGAGACCTTCATCTTTTGTTTCTTTTTGGTTTTGTGATTTCAGGTTAAGTCCGGAAATCTTCCTGAAACGCCCAGTAGTGGAAGGCAACCGCTGGAGGCTGGACTGCATCCTCAAACGGAAAGCAGTGAGTATTTCCATGGGGCACACACAAACGTTTTAAAACCTTTCATGTGTAAGCACAAGGCTGGGTCATGGTTGGAGTACCTGATTAGCCTGTATGAGGTGCTGGCTGGGTTTTATCCCAAGGAGCATAGGAAACTAATTGTGGTGACACATACCCTTAATGACGACACCTAGGAGGCAGAAGAGGATTTGGAGTTTAAGGCCAGCCTAGGCAGTATGGCAGCATCAAGGTCAGCCTGGGCCGTTTGAAACTGTCTCAAAAGAATGCTTTTTTCAAATATACCTATAACTTGATTTTAGAGCAGTGGTTCAGTTTTTGTCAGTTCCTGATGTTGTAGTGATCCCAAGCATAAACTTACTTTTGTTGCCACTTCACAACTGTAATTTTGCTACTATTATGAATCCTAGTGTAAACATCTGTTTTCCAATGGTTTTAGGTGGTCCCTGTGAACGAGTTGTTCAACACACAACGTGAGAACCACTGCTTTAGAGCTTGAAAACCAACACACACACACACACACACACACACACACACACACATACCACATATGCACACACATGGGGAGGGGACTTCCTGTTTCCCAGTTTGTTTCAGGGAAAAGAGTATGGGATGGGGGTGGCTCAGTAGCTAAGAGCTTTTGCTGCCCAGTGTGGACCTGAGTTCGAATCTTCAGTGCCTGCATTATGAAGTCAGGTATGGTCATGTGCACTTATAACCCCATAACTGTGTGAGATGGATACAGGAGCACTGTTGGCTTCTGTTGGCTGCCAGCCTGGCTCTGGATTCAATGAGAGATCCTGTTTCAGAGGAATAAGATAGAGAATGATAGAAACGGGACATTGATGTCTTTCCAGGCCTCCATACATGTGCATGTTGGCAGATGCACCAAACAATCCCCCCCACCCCTCATACTTCCCCACATACACACACCACAAGTCACACCCACACCCACACACCATAGCTGGGAAGACGTTAAGGACGATGGGGTTTGTTCTAATCTGAGCACAGTTTACAGTGAAGCCAGCCTGTAGATTCTGGGTGAACACTGATTATGCTCTTTTCATTATAAAAAAGCAAACAGTTGAAGCAGTGTAGCTCACTGATGTTGTTAATGAGCTCTGTTTATGTGACTAAATTAGAGTAAATCTGGATTTATTATTGATCTTCTAATTAGGGAACGCTAACCCTTGTACTCTGGCTTGAATCTTTTTTTTTTTCTCCTCTGAAGAAGTGCTCTGGCAGATGTTTGGGTTGAGTTCCTGGGAGCAGCATTTCTACTCCTAACGGTCTCCACACCTTCCTCCTCCTCTCCCGCTGTCTCACTAGCTCTCTGTCACCCACTTTTCATTCCTCCTTCCGTTGGCTTTCCTCATACCTTCCAGAGAATTCCATCAGCACACAGACCTCATTGATCACCCTAAGGGAAGATGACATTTTCTTCCATCCATCCAGCATGGCTCTGATGGATAGTGTAATCCATTCCATTCATAAAATGGACAACTCTGAGCCTGAGAAGTTCAACTCACACAGTCCTTAAATAGCTCAGTGTATCTGCAATGAGCTATGTAGGATGCAGGTCACCAGGGAGGCTATAACAGACGTCTTTCCAGCCCATGCCAGCTAGCTCTTATGAAGACACATGTCCTAGGCTCAGACCTAGCCTTACCAACACCCCACCCACATCCCGTGTTTTCTTCTATGGAGCAACACCTCTCCTAATTCTCCTTAAGAGATGTTTAAGGGAGGAGGGTGGGGCCAATAAAGTAGGATTGGAATGTGATAATGAGAGAGAGTAGAGGGAACCATAGATTCAGAAAGCTGAAGTCTTCCCTCCTTTTTACCTTCTGTCCCTCTGTCCCCCTCCCTTCCTGCTTCCCTCTCTCCCTCCCTCTCCTCCTCCCTGTCTTCCATTGACTGTCTTCTTCTCTCTGTTTCCCCCTCCCTGTTAGCTAAATGTTCTATCTGTGAACTGCGTCCCCAACCCTAGAGAGGTCCAATTGAGATACCCAGAGTATGAGGGGTCTGTAGACATCTACATAACCCGCAAAAGGTAGTGAATGTTGATCACGGCTCTGGAGGAAGCCATGCAAGCCTGGCCCTCCCCTTCTTTGTTGTCCCCAAGGTCTTTGGCCTTCTATGTCACTGGTGTAGCTTCTCATAGCTTTTGGCCCACACACCCTGCTGAGGTCTCTGGTGAATACCACAGTGGATGAGTGTCACAGCTTGATGGTAGTGTTGCGGTTTCCAGGTCAGATGCTTTCCGTAGCTTGTAATCTTTAACTTGTGGGTAACGATGTGTTTTAATGTCCTGAAGAACAGCGATGCCATGAAGGACTAATGGCTGCATCGCACGTTTAGCGGCGTGTTCTCCATCTCAGGGCACTGAATTTACACTTTGCCCATCAAAGTTTTAACATCTGGACCATTCCAATCTGATATGTCATATGCACATGAACGTTGCTTCTCATACATGATTTAGCTTCTGGAAGTCACACGCTAGATTAGAAAAGAATGGGGTATGACATAGTGTTTATTCTTGTATTAGTATGTGCCAGAGGTACGTAAGGTTGATGAAGATGAAACATTTCTATTATACAGATAGTTTTTAAAAATATTTTAAGAAGCATCTACAAATTTGCTAGCTTCACAGCTGATGTGTAGGTCAATATCTCTTACAATACTGTGTTTTGTTTTTCTGGTAACAACTAAGTTGATAATCTCATCTTTCCTGGGCCTCCTGATATGTGATGTCATATTTAGTGTCAGCCAGTCTTGACGGGCAGGTTGTTTATTATTTGGGCATCCTTTGACTCCAGAGGAATTTTCCAGAGTGGTAAGATGGTAACAGTCAAAGGGTTTTACTTTTCAAATTGAATTTGTCATCAAGTTGATTCTTTTTTCCTTTTGGACCACAAGACCCAAGACTGATGGAGTGATAGTTACCATCAAAGGGAAAGATGTCCACACTAGAGAGGGGAGACAGAGTGATAACCCTCTACCCAGAAAACCAGTAGGATTCTAAGTAGGAGGCTGCAATGGCTTACAGGAGAAGGCAGAGGGTATCTTTAACCACCAGGACCATATTTTAAACAAAACTGGTTAAAAATACATAGGTTTTTATGCTGTGGTAACCTAGTGTTCCTTATCTTTAAATAGTGAGGATATGATTACTACTTTAATTTTTTTCCTTAAATTATATTTGAAATTTGTGTGTGTACACATGTGTGGAAGTCAGAGGACAACTTGAGGGAGTTGTGGAATTCAAATTCAGGTAGTCCAGCTTGGAGGCAAGTGCCTTTATCCATTGAGTATCTCACAGGCTTACATTCTGCCCTCAGTTTTTTGAGATGGGATCTCAGATAGCCCAGGCTGACATCTAACTCCTGATCCTTCTGACCACTCTTCTCAATCGCTGGAATTACAGCTGAACATCATCCCACATGGATTTTAGCTTTCACCATTTGTTTCCCATTACCTACCATATTGCACCCCAAGAGAAGTTCTTGGCAAACAATGGATTGTTTCTCTGGGGTGGGGTTGTATAGGATAATGACAGGCAGCCAGCGGACAAACTTGGCTTTACTTTGCAAATACTTGGACCATGCTACTTTGAATACTCAGAAGAAGCTGGCTATGAAATGGGATCTTGTTGATTTCCACTGTGTTTTTTTCAATTGTCTTCATGTGTATTTTGTGTATCAAAGCCCCTAAAATTCCTGTGTTTGTCATGTTGTGCCTCTGTATCTAATGACAAGCTACTTAGGAAAGAGGACTGAATGTGTGTCTGCAGTTTCAGCACACTCTAGAACTTTCTTTGCTTCAGTTCAGCAAAGATAAGAAATGTGTTATCTCATAAAGGTCCCTCTAGAGAGTCTTCTTACTTACCAATAGTGCCCTTCTTCTTCTTTCCTAAAGGGTCTTACTATGTAGTCCAGGCTGGCTGGGAACTTGTTATATGGACCAGGCTGGCCTCCCGGGTGTTGGGATGAAAGTCATGCCCCACTGTGCCTGGCCTGAAGTTGACTTTTGTATGGGATAAGACATCAGGATCTAGTTTCATTCTTGTACATTTTGAAACCCAATTCTACCAAGACAATTTGATAAAGAGGATGCCTTTTTGCCAATCTTTTTTTTTTAAACTTTTTGCCAGAAAGCAGGTGGCTGTACTGTGTGACTTTAATTCTTGGCCCTCCCGTCTATTCCAGTGAGCTACGTGTTGGTTTTTGTGCCAATGCCATGCTGTTTTTGTTAATCTTGTTCTGTAGTGTAACTTGAAATCAGGCATCACAGTGATACATCCAGCATTGACTTTTGCTCAGCATTGCTTAGTTATTGAGATCTTTTAAGCTCCTGTGAATTGTATAAATTTTAGGATTTTTCATTTTTTCTATGAAGAATGCCATTGGAATTTTTGTAGTGATAGTATTGACCCTGTAGGTGGCCTTAGGGGGCACAACCATTTTCACAAAATAAATTCTACCAATCTTGGAACATAGATCTTCCCACTTTTTGCTGATATTCCACACAGACTTTTATATCCAGGCTGACATTGAACTCACTATACAGTCAAGGATGACCTTGAACTTCTAACCCTCTGGTCTCAGGCACCACCAAGCCTGGTTTATGCTGTGTTGGGGACTGAACGCCAGGCAAGCAGGCTTCCTGCTGAGCTACACCTCCAGCTGGTTGTCTTATTGAATTGTCTTCCTGTTTGAAATGTTTGGTGTGGAGGACTCTCATTTATTTGCTTTCGTTTAAGCTTTTAAGAATGGCATTGTTTTACTGATTCATTATCTCTTCACAACCACTGTTTGCATGTAGGAAGGCCACTTCAAAGTATTACTTCTAAAACTGCAAACAGCCTTGTCTTCTGTAGATTTGGCTTACTGAGATAGCTTCCATGGTTTCATAAGCCTGCACTGTTACAACAGAGCAAACGGCTTTATGGCAAAGGAACTATTTTCCTTTACCATTTATAGAGTTTATGGCTGCATTGTGATATGGTGCGCACTTGGCCATTTATGGAGTTTATGGCTGTGTGATATGGTGCACACTTTGCCATCTATGGAGTTTATGCCTGAGCTGTGATATGGTACACAAAAGGGAAATTACTGCTTTATTATCTTGGGAATCTGCCAGACATTAACTGCTTATTACAGGTATAAGCATAAGTATATAAGACAAGCCCCATTAAAAATAACATTTGTATAATTGCTTCCTTGTTAGTCATTGGTATTTAAGATAAAGGGGGACAAAATGTATATGCTATTTTCTTTATATTCACCTTATTCAAGTGAGAAAAGACACAGTATAGAATAAAATACCAGCTGTAATATTTGGAAGGTATTACTGTAATCCATTAGAGTTAGTGTCTTTATCTCAAACGTCCATCAGTTATTTGGGTAAGTGGGAAACTGCAGGATTTAGACCAAGTACCTAATCTGCAAACACTGTGCTTGGTGAATAATAATGTTTTAAGCTCAAGAGCCAGAATTTGGAGGCCTGGAGAGATGGCACAGTGGTTAAGGATATTTGTTGCAAAACCATAAGGACCTGAGTTCAGAACCATGTCCACAGGAAACAAGCTGGGCAGGGTTTAGTGTGGACCTGTCACCCCAGTGCTGTGGGGGCAGGGACAGGAGGGTCACTGGGGTTTACTGACCTGCCAGCCTAGTGAACAGTGAGCTCCTGTCTCAGAGAGAGACCTGTCTTGAAGGGATTAGACAGAGAGTGATAGAGGGGACACATGCTCTTCCCTATTGTTCACACGCTGACGAATGCATGTGTGCCACACATGACCACACTCATGGACTCCTGTGCACGAGAATTCATGTGTACCACACATAATCACACTCGTGGATTCCTGACCACACTCGTGGACTCCTGTGCACGAGAATTCATGTGTACCACATATCACCACGCTCGTGGGGTCCTGTGCATGATAATGCACATGTGCTGCAACATCACCACACTCAAGTGGGAATTCATGTGTGCCACACGTCAACACACTCATGGGGTCCTGTGCTTGGTAATGCATATGTGCAGCAACATCACCACTCCATGCTTCCTCCCGTGCATGGGAATTCATGTGTGCCACACATGACACATTCATGAGGCTCTGTGCATGGGAATGCTTGTGTGCCACACATCACCACAATCACCCACATACACAGGAGAATTAGAGAAACACTCTCTAAGAACAAAAGCAGACTTGCACGCATTTGAAATAAATGAACCACAAGGAATGATATCAGGCATATGCATAAAATACTTAGGTTGAATTTGGGTTGTAAATTTTGAATTAAACTTTTCCCCTCAAGTGACTTCTTTTTAGCACTGACCATAGTTCAGTGATAAATTTTAAAATATTTAAATAGAAAAATACAGCTGAATGATAAAAGGGAAAAATAATCTATTTTTCCTTTCGAGGCCTCAATTAGTGTTTTATTACAGAGCACTGACTGGCCAGGTCATCAAAAATCAACTTGTTCCCTTCTTGCCTATATTTTTATGTCCTTTATTCCTTTATTCCCATTATCTACTGACCAAAAGCATGAACTCTTAATGTCATTTGAAGTTGTAGTGTTGTGAAAACACATGGTTCTTGTTGGTCAGATGGTATAACTCAGGAGGAGTTCACCAGGCTCTTTCTGATTTAGTTTGACAGTGAAATGGCTCCCAAGAGCCTTGTCTGTGCTCTTCTGACTCAGTCCAGGGGGAGATTCTGTTGATTTGTGTGTCCATGTCACACAGCTACTGCCACAGTGAGGTCCTTTTGCTCACAGCATAGACATTACAAATCAAATTGTGAGTTAAGACCGAGCACATTCATCTCTGAAGATTTAGAACTGTTTTCTCTGTTTAAACCATTATTTTTCCAGAGACATTTAGGGTACATTTGGCACTAGCTGCTGCTTCAAGGGCTCAGGTCACATTCTCCTGAGCGATAAGTGCTTGGGGATGTCTAGATAGGCACTAAATCTACTGGATACCTTCAGGAGCTAAGGTGTTGGTCTCTGCATCCTGGATCTATAAGTAGTCTGGTACTTGTATAAGGGAAAAAGGATGGTTTTCTCTTGAGATACGTAACCTAGGCTGGCCTTGAACTCACTCTGTAACTGAGGCTGGCCTTGAATTCCTGTTCCTCCCGACTCTACCTCCACAGTGCTGGAATGACCAGTATTTGCCACCACACCTAAGTTCTATATTTTCTTTTTGCTTCTTGACATAATACGTGCCATTCCTTACACTGCCTGTTCATTAAATGTTATGATACCAGTTTATAGAATAAAGGAAACCTAATCTGGAGAAAGAAGGGAGGGAATAAAGGAGACCTAATACAGGGGAAGAAATGAGGGGGAGGGATAAAGGAGACCTAACCCAGGGAGAGATAGTAGGGAAAGATAAGGAGACCTAACCCAGGGAAAGAAGGGAGGGAAGGATAAGGAGACCTAACCCAGGGAGAGAAGGGAGGGAAGGATAAGGAGACCTAACCCAGGGAGAGAAGGGAGGAAGGGAGCCACAGCCCTCCAGGTGCTCATTCCCGCTTTCGTGTGACAGCAACAAGGCGTTCGGATCTTCATAATGCTTTACAAAGAGGTGGAACTAGCCCTCGGGATCAACAGTGAATACAGCAAGCGGACTTTGATGCGGCTGCACCCCAACATAAAGGTACCCTCCCACCAGTGCTCACTGTCCCACAGGAGCCTTTCCATGTAGATGCCCTTGATCTTCGTTTTGAATGAACAGCATCAGATGCTCAGAGATGCAAGCAGAATCATACGTCCTTGTTTTGTTTTCAAAATTAGCATACAAATACCCAAGGGATGGTTATTTTAGACATACCTTGTTTTTTTTTGGATTCTCCTTCACTATTTCCTTTGCCCAGCCTCCTGCTCCCCATTTCCTTCTTCCCCATAGAACCCTTTATTTTGCTTTCATGTCACATGTCTTTTCATACCCTCTTTCCCCTTCCCCATTCCCTTCAGACTTCTCTTCCCTCCTCAAAATCCCTTCTCAGTTTCTTGACCCTACTCACACCCCATAGGTATGCATATATATTTATAAATGTTTAAATCTAGGATCCACATGTGAGAGAAAACATTTGGTATTTATCTTTCCAGGTCTGGGTTACTTTAATAGTTTCCTCTTCCATCATTTTCCTGCAAATGTTGTTATTAAATTTGTTAGTACTAAATAAAATTCTATCATGTGTACATACCACATAGGCTTCATTCGTCTACTGGTGGGCATCTAGGTCGGTTCCATTTGCTTGCCATTGTGAGTAGAACAGCAATACACATAGATGTGCAAAAATCTGTGTGGTATAACTTAGTTCTGTATACACCCAAGAATAGAGCTGGGCTCCATGGCAGTTTTAATTTTAGCTGTCTTCTCTCTTCCTTTCTTTCTTTCTTCCTTCCTTCCTTCCTTTCTTCCTTCCTTCTTTCCATTCCTTTCTTCTTTTTTTCTTAGAAAAATGATCTTACTATGTATTCTGGTTGGCCTGCACCTCTCTATGGGACCAGGCTGGCCTCTGATGCACAGAGATCCTGCTTGTCTGTCTCCAGGATTCTGGAATTAAAAGCATGCACCCTAACCTTAACCCTAACCCTAACCCTAACCCTAACCCTAACCCTAACCCTAACCGTAAAAATAAATAAAAGCATTAGCCAACATTTTTGATATCTTCCTGCTTACAAACATAAACATAAGAAAGGGTCCAGCGGGTCATGTCAGGAATAGTCCTGGAAGCATTTATCAGTGTCTCCGAGTACCTTCACTTAAGGAGTTGTCTAGGTATCTGTTTGATTGTATCATCAGAGTACAAATATGATTTATTAAATGTCTTTCCACAAATGCATGCTGGTTAAGTACTTTATTATTTACTTAATCATTCATTTATTTATACCAAGGGTAACTACTGGAGGGAGTGGAAAGAGAGCCCATAGCTGTTAACTTGACGTAGCTTTAATGGTTGCCATTCAAGTCAAAGGACAGCTTCCTCAAACCACCTCACCGGGCTGAGGACTTAAACCATGGGAGGGCACATGTGGCACTTGGAATGTCAGCATTAAGGAAACTGAGACAAGGGGGTCTCAAGTTCAAGACCAGTCAGGGCAGTCCTGAAAGGAAGAAAGAAAGAAAGAAAGAGATAAAGAAATGGATGGAAGTCTTTCTCTGCTAATGCTGCGAATAAAATCTGAACTTTGTGAGACTCTCTTTGGCATATATAGAACACATTCTTGTGCCTGAATTGTTTTTTAAAATGTTTTTAGGGAGGGAGCAGACCTATTTTATTGTGATGTGAAGGGCACTTCTAGATCACATTCTCTGTGGACTTCTCCTGTCTGTAGGTGATGAGGCACCCAGACCATGTGTCATCCAGCGTCTATCTGTGGGCTCATCATGAGAAGCTTGTCATCATCGACCAGTCGGTGGCTTTTGTGGGTGGGATCGACCTAGCCTATGGAAGGTGGGATGACAATGAACACAGACTCACAGACGTGGGCAGTGTCAAGCGGGTCACCTCAGGACTGTCTCTCACAGTAAGTACCTGTCACCTTTGAGGGAGAGCACAAAATCAACAGCCTTGTCTAAACCCATATAAACAGCGTGACTGACCCCGTGGTTCATAGGTGGCATCTGAGAGGTGTGGTGGACACACCTGCTTTCCTGCAGAAGCCTATACTGCCTGCCTCACTGGAACCTCTTTCAGCTTCTCTTTATAGGGGGAGAGAGTGAGTTCAGTATAGTGTATGTTACCTCAATCAGCGCTCCGGTTTTCTATTCAAATTTAATTTTCTATTTGAGAGAAGATGCTCGTGAACAAAAATGTGTGAGTCAATACTTAGGTTACATAAGGGTAAGAAGCCCATGCCAGGCAGCTGGAGGTAGGTTTTGTTCACTTATGAGAGTGTGCTCAGCTGTGGTTGGCATCTGTTTGTTTTTAGCATTTTCCCACTTATGGACACAAAAGTCAGTAGATCCGTCTGGGTCATTTAGCATGGATTGGAGGAGGAAAACTAGTGACTTCTCAAAGTCCCTGCTGATCAGGAGCTGCCTAAATACTTGCTCTGTGTTTCAGCTCTACACAGCCCAAATGCAGTATCCTTACCCAAGCATTTCAAGGGCTTATTTACTGACGAGTATGTTGCTGGGTTTTCTGAGGGCTGAGAAAGAGCAATGCACTGCCTAGATATACTGGTCAACTGTTCTCCTTGCTGTGACCAGATGTCTGATGAAAAGCAGCTTAAGGGAGGTGGGTTTGACTCCACAGGTTAAGGAGTATAGTCCATTGTGGTGCTGAAGGTGTGGATGCAGGAGCTTGACTCCCACGCATCCTATTCCACGGGCAGTTACGAAGCATGAGAAGTCAAGCCATCAAACCTCAAGGCCCACCCCCAGTGACTCACCTGCCCCAGCAAGGTTCTGCCTCCTAAAGCCTTCCAGAACACTGCCACCTACTGGGGACTAAGTGTCTACACAGCCTGTGGGAGACATTTCACAGTCAAACCATGGCAGTGGGCAACAGAGAAAACCATTGACAGAGGAAGTCAGTTCATCAGAGAAGTTGTGTGCTTTGACAGTGAATCTAAACAGTGTAATTACTGTGAGGTAAAAGGGTTAGTGAAATGAAATTTTGAGAATTTTAGCTGGGCGTGATGGAACGAACTTTTAATCCCAGAATGTGTAAGACAGAGGCAGGTGGATCAATCTCAAAACAAAGTCAAGGAATCCACCCACCCTGTGGCTGCCCTGAGAATCTGTGGAGGGAGAGTCTGTTCTGGAGCCATCACTGGTCACCACTTGTAAACTGCCTCTCAGCCTACTGGGGTGAAAGCGCACTGTGGTATACTATATGCATGGTCTTTCTTTTCTGAATAATTTTCTCAGGCAGCAGCAGTAGAATCTATGGAAAACTTAAGCCTCAAGGACAACCACGGGTCTCATAAAAACAAGCCCATCCTGAGGAGTGCCGATGAAATAGACGCCAAGCTGAAAGGAGTCGGGAAGCCCCGGAAATTCTCCAAATTCAGTCTCTATCGACAGCTGCACCGTCGCCATCTGTACAACTCGGACAGTGTCAGCAGCATCGACAGTGCCTCCAGTGAGTCCCGTCTTTGCTAGAGTTTGTCTTGACTGTGCTGTGACCTTTGCAGCCAGTCCCTTGTCTACCTGCTTTTCAAAAAACTCCGTGGTGGCATTCAATGAGTAAGTAATGCCTAAAGATTGCCATGCCATCCTGTGTGACACCATAGCGCCTCCTCTGGCACTGTTCGTATTTTGAGACAGGGTTTCATGTAGCCCAGGCTGGCCTCAAACTCCCATGATGGAATTGCAGGCATATACCACCATGTCTTTTTTATATGGTTCTGGATTAAATCAAGGGTTCTGTGCATGAAGCAAGCACACTACCAACTGAGCTCCATGTCCAGTCTCCTTTGCCTCATTTAAAAACCATATTATCACTACAAAGTCATCTTAACAACCACTATTGGTGCTTTCGGTGGTCACTTAATGACTAGAGCTTTCTAAAACATGACAAGCTATAAAGGGAAAAGCAAAGCATTTAGGTGTACTTTGTAAACCTTTTGTAGAAATGTATTTGTTTTCATCCAGAAATATACTGTTTGTATCAGTAGACATCAGATGTTCTATATTCTTACTATCCTTTGCAAATCCTGCTTAGAGCACTATGATTTTCTATTACACTAGATCTCATAGTTGATTCTATAGACCTTCTTGTTTTAAAAATAATTAAGCTTGCTTTCCCAGTTTAGAAAATTTGATGTATACACATGAACACACATACATATATATGTAAATATGTTTCTTTGTAAAACAAAAAAAGAACTCTCAACTTTCTCCAGGTTGTTTTAGCCACTATAGAAGCCACCAGAATTTAATCCATGGTTTAAAGCCCCACTTGAAACTCTTTCGCCCTTCCAGGGAGTCCCAGCAGGGACTCAGTGGGCACAGCACTGGTAAGTGACTTGCTAGTGTCAGAAGCCAATGGGCTTCAGCTTTTGTCGCTTCCTCTGTTGCACAAGCACAGTGAGTGTGTGTTCATACCGGCTCTCTGCTCAGTCTAAATGTCTCATGTTAGGTAGGCGCTGCTCCATGTAAGTGCAAGCTCTGTACTTCTGAGAACCTACTCTCTAGGGGTGGAGAGAAGAAAACACACCCAACAACCCTGTGGCACAAGGTGTGCAGTAATGAGTGTGCATGCATGTGCACACATGCACGCATCGTGCGAGCACGCGCGCGCACACACACAACTCTGTACAAGGCAGAAGGATGTCCTCTTGCTCACCTAGAGCAATGTTTTGAGGATGGAGCCTGTCTAGAGGGTCTGACAGTAACTTGAAGAGGTAGGTGGGGACAAGAAATTTGAGGGGTTAGGCAGGACAGGGAGGAAATGAGCCCAGCAAGGGCACTGAGATGGGAAGACCAACATCTTGTTTGTTAATAGGACATGCCACTTTCTGCTAAGGCACGATGGCTGGTGTTAAGAGGACACACTCGAGGCACAGAGTCCCATACAAAGTGGGCAAAATGCAGCTTCATTTGTTGAAAAGAATCACGAAGGTTTTTGAAAGAGCTATCATGTTTTACATGGGACTGGTTAAAAAATGTTTATGAAAAGCACCAGATATGTGAGGAATGAATTAATTAGGGTCTAACTGTAGAGGTGGGAAAGAAGAAAGTTTTGGCAACTGATCTGACCTAAGGATGAGGAATCACTATAATAATCAGCTACCAAGTGCTCAGATGGTCCTACACTGCCCCGGATGCTTGCGATGCCCAGTGTCTCCTTGTCACAGATGAGAAAACTTGACCAGATGGCAAGAGACTCATTTGCCCAGTGTGATCCCAGTTCATCAGCATCCTAGGGCTCGGTATTTACAGGTGTGACTTGGCAGATATGCAGACACTCCATCCATCCCGACTTCATCCCGAGACTAAGATGCTGTTTTACTAGATTAGGGTGTTGCAGGCCGGCTAACAGGCTGGGATGAATCTCCAGGGAACCTGACTAGGTAGGCTGGAACTAAAGGAGTGGTTCCAATATTCTTCAGGAATCCAGCTTTTCAATTTTTTTTCATGACATGTGTTTATTTCATTGTGTGTCTATGTGTATGCATAGACTGTGGTGTCTGTGTGGAGGTCAGGGAACAACTTGCAGGACTTAGTCTTCTCTTTCCACTATGTGGGGCCAAGGGATTGAACTCAGTCTCCAGGCTTGGTGGCAAGCCATTACATGGACCCAGACACAACAGTTTTTAAAATGCATTAACTATATGTAATGAACCAAAGCTCAGTGTAAATTCTAACAATATTGATTCACAATTAAGAATGGAAAATATTATATGGAAGATGCCCTAGTTATTTAATGTGAGATTAGAGATTAGTTCTTGATTGGCATATAAGCTTAGGAACAACTTTCACTCATGTCTGTGCCTACGTGCACCTCACTATTCTGAGGTCTGGAAACTTTTGGGTAACTAAGGGGACCAAGACAGGATACCTGTACAGCTATAACTGTTAAGAAGAATTCGTAGTGAAGGCAGTTCTGGAAAGTGGCATTCCGGTGTGTGTGTTTGCTGCTTTATACCTGAGGTTTAAGTGAGATGGAAGGATGAGGTTGCTGGGGGGTGTAAGGGTCTGCACGCTGATGGTCAGTGGTGTACACTGTGGGAGCAAGAGGGACTGAGGCAGGAAGGTATGTTGACACCTTAGGCCAACCCCTGACTGGGGGCATGAGACCCGCAGTGATGATCTAGGTCATGGTGCTGCGGGGAAGTTCCGTGACATGCAACCACGGTCTCCTTCACTCACTGACTGGAGACGGGTTTATTTTAAGAGAAAGGAAGAAGTAAATAACCCAAATTTTAGCCTCTGGGAATGAAAAGGAAGTAGGGGTTGGGTCATCATTAATGAGATGGAGCAGCCATGAAAGCAGACACTCACATGGTTCTTCAAAGATTTATTTTAACTCTAATTATGTGTGTGTTTCTGGTGGATGCTGGAAGCCAAACCTGGGTCCCCTGAGATGACAGCGTGCACTCTCAACCACTGAGCCATCTCTCAGGCTCCTTGTATGCGCAATTGAACAAATATATACTGAGCTCCTATGACATGCTAACCACCGTCCCAAGTACTATGGATGAAATTAATGTATCTGGGAGGGGTTGCACACACAGATCATGGCTCATAGTATATTAAACAGTGATAATTATTGTAGTGGAAACCAATGGTGTGAAAGCAGAGGCATGAATTATTACTATTTTATATAACCTGATTAAAGAATCATACTCTGAGTTGAGTTTCAACTGGAGGTCAACAAAGGAGAGGAGGAGAATAAGAAACTGTCTGGAGTGGTGTCCTAATCAGGAGCAACATTCAAAGAACACATGGTCAGGGATCATTGGAATGTTCCAGAAATGTGGCTGTGGAGACAGGAATGTTAGCAAAGCCAGAAGGTGGGCTCTGGATGGACTATAAGCAGCTTTGCAGGCTACTGTAAGAATTTGACCTCTGGAAAGTCAGTGGATACTATTAATGTACAGATAGCCACATGGAAGGGGCTCCCAAGATGCCTTGCCATGCAGAGGTCACAATGCAGGGTACAGGTGTGAGGGGTCCCTGCAGGTGTCCATGTGGGGAAGAGAAATACATGAAGGGATAAATATGAAAACAAGGTGCAAATGGACTTCGTCAACCTGGATCAGACTCTGGGGAGGCAAAAAAGAGACTGCTTCTTCCCAATGCATTTCAGCCCAGTATAGTTTGGAAAAAGGCTTCCTGATGTAACACAATCCCTGGTGTACAAGGAAGCATAACTACATTGAAACTCAACTCAGGATTCATATCATTTCCCCCAAGAAGATGGATTCTAGGGACAGACTACCTGTGCTAGCTTAAGGACCTAAAGGTCTGGCCTGGTCATACAGAGAGCATAGAGGTCATTTGAGCTGTTAGCCATCTCTGGTCCTGGTTGTGGGAGCCTCTGACTATAAGGGTCATTTAGATTACTAATCACCTCAGGTCTTGGTTGTGGAAGCTTAATATGGCCTGACCCAACCAATGACCCAGAACACCAACCGTTTATCACTCCCAATTCTCAGTTTTCTGGATGGAAGAACAAGTTTTTCGTCTTTCCCACTGGAAAGACAATCCTGTGTGCTTAATTCAGCATTCCTGGTTTCTCTGGAGATCTGTGGGCACAAGGGCCTTGGTGCTATGCTCCCAGGGCAGGAGAGATGACTGCCATGTTTAAACAGAAAGACTACAGTAAATGTGATCCCACTTAATGAGGTCAGTAACCTTGGTAGATTCTGTAATATATGTTTTAATTAGAAAAGCAACCATCCACCCTCAAGGATTTATTTGTCTTTTCAGAGTTATGTCCTAAAGAGGGTTCCAGGTTTCTATTGCTTTGCTTGACAGTTTAAGATACAGAATTTGATTTCTCTGACATTTGGCAAGCATTTGCTGAGCCTTCCTTTGTAGGTAAAACTGACCAGATCAGTAAGCAGGATTCCACATTGATTGGGGTGATAATATTAAGCTATGACTACTCCGAACTTCTCTGGGCCACAGTGCACTGGGTACGAAAGACTCAGTGTTCCCCCCAAGAAGCTTAGCTCAGGCATGGTGACATGTAGCTGCAGCCTCAGCATTTGGGGGACAGACAGAGGCAGAGAACTGTGACAAACTCCAGGTCCATCTGCCTTACATAGTGAGTTTAAAGCCACCAAGGACTAGATAGGTCTTGTCTGAAAACAACACAAGACAAAACAAAGCAAAAATAAATAAAAAGCCAGCTTATTGTGTGCTAGTTGATGGTGAAACATTTTGGAATGTTTTACTGGTTAGCACAGTGGTTAGTTCTCTTGCTTCAGGTGGAGCCTTATTAACAGACCCAAGACAAGGTCACACACACACTTGGAAATTAGAAAGTTGAAGACTGAACACTTTCGAAAATACGTAAGTCATTCAGGACCTGGATTGGAACTACCTTGGATGTGAATACAGATTCAGACGGTAGGGTATTGGGGATGTGAATACAGGTTCAGACGGTAGGGTATTGGGGATGTGAATACAGGTTCAGACGGTAGGGTATTGGGGATGTGAATACAGGTTCAGACGGTAGGGTATTGGGGATGTGAATACAGGTTCAGACGGTAGGGTATTGGGGATGTCAATACAGGTTCAGACGGTAGGGTATTGGGGATGTGAATACAGGTTCAGACGGTAGGGTATTGGGGATGTGAATACAGGTTCAGACGGTAGGGTATTGGGGATGTGAATACAGGTTCAGACGGTAGGGTATTGGGGATGTGAACACAGATTCAGACGGTAGGGTATTGGGGATGTGAATACAGGTTCAGACGGTAGGGTATTGGGGATGTGAATACAGGTTCAGACGGTAGGGTATTGGGGATGTGAACACAGGTTCAGACGGTAGGGTATTGGGGATGTGAACACAGATTCAGACGGTAGGGTATTGGGGATGTGAATACAGGTTCAGACGGTAGGGTATTGGGGATGTGAATACAGGCTCAGACGGTAGGGTATTGGGGATGTGAATACAGGTTCAGACGGTAGGGTATTGGGGATGTGAATACAGGTTCAGACGGTAGGTATTGGGGATGTGAACACAGGTTCAGACGGTAGGGTATTGGGGATGTGAATACAGGTTCAGACGGTAGGGTATTGGGGATGTGAATACAGGTTCAGACGGTAGGTATTGGGGATGTGAACACAGATTCAGACGGTAGGGTATTGGGGATGTGAATACAGGTTCAGACGGTAGGGTATTGGGGATGTGAACACAGGTTCAGACGGTAGGGTATTGGGGATGTGAACACAGAGTCAGACGGTAGGGTATTGGGGATGTGAATACAGGTTCAGACGGTAGGGTATTGGGGATGTGAACACAGGTTCAGACGGTAGGGTATTGGGGATGTGAACACAGGTTCAGACGGTAGGGTATTGGGGATGTGAACACAGATTCAGACGGTAGGGTATTGGGGATGTGAATACAGGTTCAGACGGTAGGGTATTGGGGATGTGAATACAGGTTCAGACGGTAGGGTATTGGGGATGTGAATACAGGTTCAGACGGTAGGGTATTGGGGATGTGAATACAGGTTCAGACGGTAGGGTATTGGGGATGTGAATACAGGTTCAGATGGTAGGGTATTGGGGATGTGAATACAGGTTCAGACGGTAGGGTATTGGGGATGTGAATACAGGTTCAGACGGTAGGGTATTGGGGATGTGAATACAGGTTCAGACGGTAGGTATTGGGGATGTGAACACAGATTCAGACGGTAGGGTATTGGGGATGTGAATACAGGTTCAGACGGTAGGGTATTGGGGATATGAATACAGGTTCAGACGGTAGGTATTGGGGATGTGAATACAGGTTCAGACGGTAGGGTATTGGGGATGTGAATACAGGTTCAGACGGTAGGGTATTGGGGATGTGAATACAGGCTCAGACGGTAGGGTATTGGGGATGTGAATACAGGTTCAGACGGTAGGGTATTGGGGATGTGAATACAGGTTCAGACGGTAGGGTATTGGGGATGTGAATACAGGTTCAGACGGTAGGGTATTGGGGATGTGAATACAGGCTCAGACGGTAGGGTATTGGGGATGTGAATACAGGTTCAGACGGTAGGGTATTGGGGATGTGAACACAGGTTCAGACGGTAGGTATTGGGGATGTGAACACAGATTCAGACGGTAGGGTATTGGGGATGTGAACACAGGTTCAGACGGTAGGGTATTGGGGATGTGAATACAGGTTCAGACGGTAGGTATTGGGGATGTGAACACAGATTCAGACGGTAGGGTATTGGGGATGTGAACACAGGTTCAGACGGTAGGGTATTGGGGATGTGAACACAGATTCAGACGGTAGGGTATTGGGGATGTGAACATAGGTTCAGACGGTAGGGTATTGGGGATGTGAACACAGGTTCAGACGGTAGGGTATTGGGGATGTGAACACAGGTTCAGACGGTAGGGTATTGGGGATGTGAACACAGATTCAGACGGTAGGGTATTGGGGATGTGAATACAGGTTCAGACGGTAGGGTATTGGGGATGTGAACACAGGTTCAGACGGTAGGGTATTGGGGATGTGAATACAGGTTCAGACGGTAGGGTATTGGGGATGTGAATACAGGTTCAGACGGTAGGGTATTGGGGATGTGAATACAGGTTCAGACGGTAGGGTATTGGGGATGTGAATACAGGTTCAGACGGTAGGGTATTGGGGATGTGAATACAGGTTCAGACGGTAGGGTATTGGGGATGTGAATACAGGTTCAGACGGTAGGGTATTGGGGATATGAATACAGGTTCAGACGGTAGGTATTGGGGATGTGAATACAGGTTCAGACGGTAGGGTATTGGGGATATGAATACAGGTTCAGACGGTAGGTATTGGGGATGTGAATACAGGTTCAGACGGTAGGGTATTGGGGATGTGAATACAGGTTCAGACGGTAGGGTATTGGGGATGTGAATACAGGCTCAGACGGTAGGGTATTGGGGATGTGAATACAGGTTCAGACGGTAGGGTATTGGGGATGTGAATACAGGTTCAGACGGTAGGTATTGGGGATGTGAACACAGATTCAGACGGTAGGGTATTGGGGATGTGAATACAGGTTCAGACGGTAGGGTATTGGGGATGTGAATACAGGCTCAGACGGTAGGGTATTGGGGATGTGAATACAGGTTCAGACGGTAGGGTATTGGGGATGTAGGTCAGTAGTAGCGTGCTAGCCTAGCATGCACGAGGCTCTAATAGTATAAAAACTTGGAAGACAGAGACGAAGAAAGGAGAGAACAGTTGTTTCAGGATAATAGTCTATCTCGGGGCACAGATTTGAAAATAAGTACCAAAAGCACTTATTTTCAGTTTTCAAACTTAACTATGCAGTGGGACAAACCCCACAGAGGTCTATGGCAAGCCCTGGAGTCAGATCTGCTCCTGCAACTAGAATGTGCTAGAAAAGTGATATTGTGTCTATACCCTGTATTATGTGTCACTTCCACCAGGCTCCCGCAATGCAGGAGATGTAAGCAAACTTTGCGTACGTGCAGCTTGAGTAGGGACAATGCAGTCAGGAAAACTGTCAGTTCAGGGTGGTGTCTGACAGCAAACGAACCATGAGCACACCATTGGGTCTTCAGAGTTTGGGAACTTTGGGGTTGTGGTTAAGGATTAATTTGTATAAACTGGCCTAGTGGAGTCTATCCAGGGCAATTCTTGAGGCTCCAGAGAGTCAGGCTGAAAGAGTCTAATTCAAAAAATGCTGGAGAACACCATGATGGGGGTTGGTTGAAGGTACAGATTCATGAAGGATATACTTGATGTAAAGGGATCCAACCAGGTTGTACCAATGTGCTGTGAAGAGCCCACAGGGCAGCCCACAGCCCACATGTGCTCTTTCCTTTTAGGGGTAAACACCAGGAAAGCCAGTGGCTGGGAGATCCCAGAAGTCTGTTTCAAACATTACTTGCTTTTGTTGACATTGACAATTGAAACCATCTTTCATCCAATATGTTTAATGACTTTTGCAAAGTTAATTATTAATTTTGATATATAAGGTTAGGTGTGTGGTGACTGCATAAAAACTGTTTGTTCTGCAAACATGTATTAATTACTTCCTGGATGCTAGGAGCTAGAGCAGGTGGTGAAGTGATATGCTCCCCCCTGGGTTTGTGGACTCCTGGAGGAGGGCTATCCACTCAGCATTTCATGCAATTGCCTGGCCTGCTCAAAGGCCTTGGGAGGGCATTTCCTGACAGGACAACATCGATTCTAGTGACACCATCCCTGGCAGGGGTCTGTTCTGTCTCTCTTGAGGCCAGATGATATGGCTCATAATAAACGACTAAGAGATCAGGCCAAAGGAAGGGAAGGACAGTCTACACAGAATGGGTAACACACAAACTGCACAGAGGCAAGGCCTGTCAGCCTGCCAAAATACAGTGAAAAATGAGGCACGCTGAAGCTTGAGGCGAAGCGGAGGGGAATGGGGAAAAGACAGATGGCTGTAGGTTTGGGAAGCAACTCCTACACACACTAAATCCCTTAGCGCTTGAACCACCTGTAAACGGGAGGTAATTCTGGAGAGGTTTTAAACAGCTTCGCATTTTACAGAGACAGTTCTAGGGTGATCCGGCAGCGGCAGTGTGTGGTGGCTAGCAGGCCTCTCGCTGGCTACTTCAGGTGGTACTGTTATCTCTCTCAGCAGTCACCCTTGCGCCCCCATGCCTGCCTGCCTAATGCCTCTCTTGTGCCAAGTACTGCATTTGTGGCGTCAGTTCTGCTTCTAAGAACCCCTGCCTTGTTGTCCTCATTGCTGCCACATCCCTGAAACGTCCGCACTGCTTAGCAGTTCTTAAGTAGAGTGGTCCATTCGGCTCTGTGGAACGCTACTGCAAAGTGCTCTGTCAGTGCCGTGATTGTAAGCCTCCGTCTGTTACATTTTTTATGGATGATGTTTGTGATAAGAGTGTTAAAGACTGAAAGATCTTAGCTGTCTTCTAGGCCAAATCATGCTCTCCACGTATAAGGCTTTAAAATGTAGACTCTTGGCGCCATGTGGCTATCTAATTCTGGGGCTGGAACATGGGCTGCCTTTAAGTATGAGACTTGGGCTTTTTGAGATGAGGAAGGCATGAAGTACCCACTATGTTGGTAAGGGAAGAGGTAGCCTGCCTTCTGTTGCCTTTGCCTAGTATATGCCCATCCTCACTTGGCTTTAGTGTTCTTTTGGAGCCCCATCTGGGAAATTCTTTATAGTTCTCCTTGACCTGGTAGGCTGTGGGAATAACCTACTCAACTGCCAACAGTTAACTTCCATGTTAACCAATGATGACTCTGCTTAGGACCTCCGTTGCTCCTTAAAGAGCATCTCATGAGTGCTGGAATACTATGTCAGCCCACAGTCCTTGACCAAATGAACATAGGCTGCCCTCGTGGCAGGATTCAGGAAGAAAACTGAGGGTGTATGGTGTGTTTAGCAAGGCGTTCCTCTCTGGGGTCTACTCAACTCTCAGCCTGTGCAATGTTCACAGACACTGGCTCCATCCGAAGTGTGCAGACAGGCGTGGGAGAGCTGCACGGGGAGACCAGGTTTTGGCATGGGAAGGATTACTGCAACTTTGTCTTCAAGGACTGGGTTCAACTGGACAAGCCTTTTGCTGGTGAGTATTGGGGAGGAGGGTGGCTCGGGTTCCAGTCTGTTTTTTACTTTGGGGCATCTCAGCTATGCATGTGCATGATCTAAGTGCCTTCTGTTTCATTTATTTCAAGTTTTTAACTTGCATTTATTAATTATATGTAGTTAGTTTTATTATAAAACTTTCATACATGTACATAGTTTGGTTCTCCCCACCTCCTGAACTACCCTCTTCCCCCTCCCCTTTCTCTTCCCAATGAGAAACCTTTCTGCTCCTGATGGTTCAGTGAGTGTAATTAGGTTTGCTGTCAAGAGCATGGGTAAGGAGTTACTCACAGGAGCACAGGTGACTACAAGTGGCTACGCCACGGGAGGAAGTGCCATTCCCTTCCCCGCCTACTCTAACTACCTAAAGATCCTCAGTGGCTGTTTTATTTTTGTCTTTGAAATTTTGGAGATCCAATTTTTTCATACCCGTAGGAGTTTTTTGTTATAGTAGTAAGAAAACATGAAACTTAAAATTTCCAAATTTCCCACAGCTATACATTTCAGGGTATAAACTGAAATTTTCTGCCAGAGGGTATCCCTCTCTTGGTCATGTTCTTCTGTGTTTATTTTCTCAATCTTCCTTTATTAGAGAGATGTGTCCTAGTGATTATGCTTGTATGTCTAAGAGGTGGGCAGTATGGTGCTGTATATATTGATAGCCTGCTGTTATCTCCACAGATCAAAAGGAGAATCATATCAAGCATGCAGGTTTAGATTATTTACATCAATTCACATCTTGTCTTGTCTACAGATTAAAACTGAGCATATAGTAGGATCCGTGGAGGGAGACAGATGATTGAATTTCTTGAATATCTATGTTTCCTTTGACCATGACTATGTTGGATCCTAGTTGAGGTCAGAGTATTTCTTTTCCCTGGCACCAAACTAAGTGATGGGTCCTTGCCTGGTGCCCCTGGGCAGATTTTATTGACAGGTACTCCACCCCTCGGATGCCTTGGCATGATATTGGTTCTGTGCTTCATGGGAAGGCAGCTCGCGATGTGGCTCGCCACTTCATCCAGCGCTGGAACTTCACGAAGGTACCAATGTTGTTACAGCTTGACCCACATTAGTCCCTGGCTGAGGAGAAGCTCAGAGGGTTGGAAGGAAAGGGCTGCTGTGGCTTCACCTGTGACAACATCTATTGTTGGGGATATCATTGTCATAGTGCTGGGCTTTGGAGCACTACAAAAAAGGGACCTGTTTTTTAGAGTATTATGACAGACAACTCCAATGTGGAGTGATAGATGCGGCAGTCATGGCCTATGAATTTCAACCTTTGAACCCCGTAAATGCAAGGGTTAAGTGTTTGCAGAGACAGAGTCAGAAGGCATGTAGACACTACTATAGGGTCTGCAGGGCTTGTTCAGATGAGAGGCTCACCTGTAAAGTCCCTTCCGATCTTGGGCTGTCCTGGCCTTGGGCTGGCACTGGACTGTGGGGCTGGCTTCGTGTAGGGAAGGCAGGATGAGCGGAGCCATTTCTTTTCTCCAGATGGAGCCCACTTACAAGCTGCCATTGCTGTAATAGCAAGACCATAACACGTAGAAATGCAGCCAAATCATTGGTACTGTTAAGGGCCCACTGTATTTACTTGAAATAACGATGCTGACTACTCTCATGACCTAGGTGAGTTACTTTCATGAACAACTTAGGGTATCAGTTTACTTACTGTTCATGTGAAAGTAACAAAATATCAGTGCAATATTTTAAATTCACGTTTGGAGAGGACGCATGAGTAAGCAAAGCGATATTACTTTTATTACTTTGTTTTTTCAACACAGTTTCTCTGTAGCTCTGGCTGTCCTGGAACTAACTCACTCTGTAGATCAGGTTGGCCTCGAACTAACAGAGATCCACATGCCTTTGCCTCCTGAGTGTTGGGACTAAAGGCATACACCATCACGTCCCAGCACAATATTACTTTTAATCTACTGTGCTGTCAAAAAAATATGGCTAATATTTACATTTGGATTTCTTCTATACTCCTGTGCCCTGCTCCTAAGAGGATAAATTAACACAATATTCAATAATATTTTTAGGTACAAAATCTCTTCCCAGAAAAAGTATTTCTACATCACTTCTAATGGTTCAAATACAGTTAGAATTAGTTAAATGCTAATTAATAGTACTAAAAACATTGTTTTTGAGACAGTGTTCCTATGTAGCCCACCATGGCCTGGACCTCACAGTATTCTTCCTGCCTTAGCCTCCAGAGTTATAGGGTGACAGATGAGCTCCCAAATTCCTGAATAATATAAATCAAATCATGATTCTTAGTCCTGGTTTTACTTTGAAGTTGTTTAAAATGAAATCATGCCTAATTGCTGTGGTAAGACATTTATTTACAACATAGTAAAACATCAGCCCACAAAATAGGAATTTCATTTTTGCAATTATATATCACTGTAACTGTGGATCACATCTGATTTTCTCTCATAATATCAAGGAATGTATGCCTGCTATGAAGGTAAAAGGGAGAACAATGGACACTGAAAACAAAGACTGTTCCCAGCTTTAGCTTAGAAATATCCACTTACAATATTTTTTTGGTTCCAGGGAACTACTAAGTGAGAAATAAGGACCTCTTTTCTCACTTGAATCTCTTTGAATTTGCCTTTTCTGTTTCAGATTATGAAGCCAAAATACCGCTCCCTTTCCTACCCTTTCCTGCTCCCAAAATCTCAAAGCACGGCGCATGAGCTGAGGTATCAGGTGCCTGGGGCGGTCCCCACCAAAGCGCAGGTAAGACAAGTACTGCTGGGTGATGTCTTTGTGATGGGGCTTATTGTCTGCCACCTTTACTTCAGATTTTCCAATAAGCATTTTTTGAGGCACGTCTAAGTGGATCTTTGAAAATTCAGTGTTGTATTTACTCTGAATGAATTCAGTTTGTCATCTTTCTAAAACTCATGTGTTACGTCTAGTAAATACATGTCCTCATGAAGGCCACACTACAGCATAGCTGTTCCCATGATTCCTCGAGGGGTTCCCATAATTCCTTGACGGTGACCCCAACAACACTTACACAGAAAACCTGGGGCCGGTGCTGCTTGAGCACCAGGGATGAAGTTGAAACTTGGAGTCTGAGAAGAGAGTTCTTTGTTCAATTGAATTTTAGTGCTCAATTAACCAAATACCTTTTAGAGGCCCTTTTAAAACAACAGGAAGTTGTTTAATAGAGTCATAAAATTTTACAGCTTCCATTCCAACCACAGCAAGTTACAAACAAGAAAAGTCTGACCAGTGAGCTCTGGCGCTTTTCCAGGGCCACCCACTACTGGTGGATTCCAGCTCTGGCTCAAGGGTCTTCAGTTGGCTCCCTCTGTCAATGGCCTCTCACGTGTCTTGAAGTTATGCAAGGACAAAATGAAGATGGGCCGCCTTTGGTCTTGTGGTGTTGTCTCTGTAACACCCAAAGCATTGTTTGGGCAGAAGCTCAGTGCCCTGTTTGCTGTTCATGTCACCAACGTGGACTGACCTAGCTCAGACGGGAGTCTAGTGAACCTGCTGTTATAAATGAAGTGTCTGAGTCTGTTACTTTGCACTGTGTGCAAGCAAGGTGTGTGTCCAGCAAACAAAACTGTCCTACAACAGAGACCAAATAATACAATAAAAAGGACAAACCAGGGCTGAGGAGATGGCTAGGTTGCAAGCAGGGGGCTCAGAGTGTGATCCCTAGAACCCATATAAAGAAGCTAGGCATGGGGATGCGATCTTGTAATCCTAGCGCTGGGTGGGAGTGGGTGGGAGGGAGGCTAGGCATGGGGATATGACCTTGTAATCCTAGCACTGGGGGGTGGGGACATAGCATAAGGATCCTGGGACTCACTGGCCAGCCAACCTAGTGAGTCCCAGGTCAATGAGAGATTCTGTCTTAAAAAATTTAGGTGGAGAGATCCAAAGCAATAATATCCAGGCTTATTCTGTGGTTTCCATGGCAATCACGCATATGTGCACGTGTACCCACCCACACAAATACAATTCACCTAAACACCCACATGCAAACACACAATAAAGGAAAAAGGTTGGACAAACAGAAAAGTATCTATAATAGATATGTAGTCATCTCAGTTTAAAGAGATATGAAAATATTAAATTGTATGAACCTATTTAATTTATTCTATGTGGTAAGGAGAGCTTACTCATTCTGGAAGATGAAACAAGGATGCTGGTATTAAGAAAAACCAGGATTTAAAATTTGAACTTGCATTAAGATTGGTGTGGGGGGTCATCTTACCGAAGCTAGCTTCTGTTGAGTATTGACTGACCGTGGAGATGGCGTGGGGTGGGAGCCTGTTGCCATGCCTGATGATTTGAGTTTGATATACTGCACTCACGTGGCAAAAGGAAATCCTGCAGGATGTCCTCTGACCTTCACACCCTTCCTGGGGCAAATGTGTGCCCACACATACACAAATAACTCAATATACATGATAATTTAAATAAATATGCATATATATGGCTGAGATATTTTAGCTACTGCTGATTATACCAAGACTCATTCATTCACCAACTCAAGCCAGCACGTTAAGTACCATGTGTTCATATAACATGTTTAAGCACCAGCTCTTTAGACTCTAAGCCATCATTTGCATCCCGAGAGACAAAATAAAAATCATTCTTGCTGCCTCTGGAAGCATAGGTTGCCGAGAAGAGAAAGTGTGAGATTGAAAATTCTCTTGGCAACTCACTTGGATGCCCTCAGAGCTTGCCAGCAAGGAGGGACAGAGCTGGTCCTTGTGCCTAAGGAATGAGACCACCTGCTGTAAATCACTGCCCTTGGAGAGGGTACTGTAGCTGGGGTAAGGGCAGGCGAGGGCTCTGTAGATGCCTCAGTGAACTTGAACTTGCCTATCATCCTGAAGATTAAACCGTGGCATCAGTTCCTAAACTGGCTTTTGTCTGTGAAATGCTGATAAGGCTTTCACAACAAACGGTGTCCAAGGCTTCTTTACTGGGGGCTGGCAGTACCTTGGTTATGCTAATGTGCCAGGGAGCCCCTGAAGGGCTTGAGGACCACAGGGCCATTCACAAAGTTTATCTGAGGGAAGGCTTCTCATTTCAGTTCTCCCATCTATTTCTGTCTGAAAACTTTGGAGCTTGAGACACATACATAAGAAGAGCTTTCTAGTGAAAGCCAGGGCATTGGTGGTCTCTGAAAGAACTAATGCCCTGTGGGGCTAAACTAGGAATGGCAGGGAGAGGGTCAGAATGCAGAGGAAAGACAGACACACTGAAAACAAGGGACTAAAACGGAAGAAAAATGACTATATATCGTGATGGCATCTCGCGAGAGTAGCGTGAGTGTGGAATGCTTCCTGGGCCGGTGTGTGAGCTGAGGTCACCAGGAGGAGCAGTCTGTTCTGTGCGACACAATGCATCTGAGAGTGGCCACAATAAAGAGGTGAAAAAGCTTGAGGTGGCACTTCTAGGAACACAGGACAGTGGCCAGCTAAGCACAGTCAATAGTTAGAAAACCATCCAGTCAGGAAAGCACAATGTCCCAGTGCAGCTGCCAGGGGCCTGAGGCCTTAGTGGACCCCTCCTCCACCCACCTCTTCCTCACTAGAAGCCTCCCACAAAGACCCTTTCCTTCAACACACTTAATAAATGAAGGGTCACTGCCTTTCACTGACTCCACCTGATGTAGCTCAGAGGCCGCATAAAGCTCAAATGCCCACATACCCTGACTTTTAAAAGCAAAGGCGTTTGAGATGCGTTAAGATGGAGGGTGCTTGGCGTCTTAACGGTCAATGAAAGCATCCAGTGAGTGTCAGCACTAATGTGGAATCAGTCTTTTTTTCTTTTTTAAATATTAAATTGGGCTGCTTATCATTGAAACCATCTTTTAGACAATCATGCTAATATCTCTAAATATACAAATGCCTCCTGGAAGAAGTGAAGGGGGAAGAGAAAAAAATGGGAAAGAAAGTTGATAGCTAAATGGCATCCTAATCGTACTGCTGGAAGGCTGTTGCCACAGTTGGGCTGAATTTCCAGATGGCGCTCAATGGGTGTCTTTAGAGAACCCTGGACTGGGTTGTAATGCAGATGGGAGACAGAGCAAAGCAGGAAGGAGGGTGCTAGGGTCTGAAGGCTGACACTTGCTCTCCAGCTGGGGATGCTATCTGAAGGGGTGTTGGAAACTGGGTGTTAGGTCCCTGGGGGCATTCCTGGGCAGTTATACTTGGTCCCTAAGCCTTCCTCTGTGTCTGCTTTCTGGATGCCTGAGGTGAGCATCTTTGCTTTGCTACACGCTCCCTGACCCATGCTCGGCTGCACCATGAGCCAGAAACCCTGGAGCTGGTCTGCTGTGGACTAAAACCTCTGAAACCAAATACTGAAGTCAGTCTCTCTTCCTTTCACTTTTCCTCTGAGTATCTTGATCACAGCCATGTAACAGTTGCCTGTGACCTAGGCCTGAGATAATCAGCTAGCTGCATTCCCTTCCATGGATGTGAGTCACTGAATTCATGGAAGCTGCTTTTCTAGAAACAGGCCAGGTTTTCATGGACCAACATGTGTGGACGTGGTTCTTAGTCAGCAGCAGCTGCTATCCAACAAGGAAGCTTTACTCCATGTCCAGCACGCAGGACTTTTTGTCGATTCCTTATTTATTTTCAACACTGTATGAGAAGTACTTTTGTCTAGTCCCTGTCTTTGCGGATAATGAAACTAAAGTTTGGTAATTTAAAACAAGAGTAAATTATAGACATGGCTTCTACTCCTAGCACTTAAGAGGCTGAGGCAGGAGGCTAGCCCACCAGTTCAAGACCACCTTTGGCTACAGAATGAAACCCTGTCTCCTAAACAACCTACATGGGTCAGTGATGCCTCCAGCTTAGAGGATGTAAGTGCTAAAGGTGGGCTCTGTCTCCAGTATGTCCCAGGGTGACTGGAACCACAAAGACCCCAGCAAGGTGACAAAGCTTCATTTGTTACATCTTTGAGGACAATCTCCCATCGCAGGTCTTTCTTTTGTATCTTTTTTTGTTCTCCAAAGTCCTCACACATATCTGCACCCCACCCCCCATGCTTCTCCCCTTGAATTATCTCTCCATAAACACTACTTTATTTCTCTCCTCCAGCTTCAAGACTGACTGCTTCCTTTGGGTCTGGTAAAAAGGCTGTTCTTGTGATAACTGCCTAGCCAATTGAGCAGCAGGACCTCAAACACAGGGGTTGTTAAAGGAGGGAGCTTGAGAAGGAGGCTGGCGCCTAGGTCACCTCTTTACTTCATTGACTGTGGTTGCTTTTAGTCCAGACTGGAAGAGTGAGGCTCAATCTTGGGAGCCCTTCCTTTTCTACACACACACACACACACACTTTTGTCCTAAGCAACCTTTGTCCATATTTCACTTGGACACTTAGGGAAGTAAGGAGTACATACACACCCACTGGATTTACAGGGAACTGAAGCATTCAGGAGAAAGGAATCTGGAGCAGATACTATAATGTCCTGAAGGTTTTCTTGCAAGAGACATTTCTGTTCTTTCTGTATTCATCTTAGGCCCACTGTATGGGAGAGGAAGGATTGTGGCTAATGAGAAGGCTATTTTTAGTTTAAAAAAATAGGACACTGTAGAAATGAGAATTTCTAGTCCTAGTTATGCTTTTGTCCCTAAACCATCAAGTCAGATCTATGCCATTTTCATGATGTGTATTCAAATTTGAGGTCTGAAAAGTGTAGGCTAGATTTTATTCCCTGCACATTTGGGGATTATTTTGCATGTGAGGGGGTGGTCCTGAGGCTTGTCTCAATCATATTGGTTCAAACCTGGAAACAAGACAAGCTGGTAAGGTCAAGGAAACAGAAAGAGGATGACTCTCAGAAAACAAATGGAAATGAATCAGCACATGCTTGATGTTCTTGACTACCAATAGAACTTTCTAGACCATCAAAGATGGAAAGCGATTGGGATGATCTCCTATAACTTCAGCGTTCCAAAGGCAAAAATGCAGGCAGGGTCAAAAGGAAATTAGTTTCAATTGCTCTTGTGGTAACAGGCAAGTTTCAACTAATTAGAAGATTAAATGACTAATAATCCCAAGTAGTTTTTTTTCTTTTTCCTCTCTTGCTTAAAATTTAACTTTCAAGTTTGTCCCCAGATAATGATTGTTTTTTAATGAGGAACCTTTCATTGCGAGTTAAAGCTTGAACTTGGGCAATGGATTCATAGCCATGAACCCTTGGGAGTCAGGCAACTTCCTGCATTTGGGTGTTGTGAGCATTTTGAGACTCTCCACTTTGGCATGTGATCTGTCCCATACAACGGGTGTGTTTTCTGGGCATACAGCTTGACTTTAAACATTCAAATCCCTCTGATTACCTGTCCCTCGTGGAAAATGACATCTATCTGACCTCCCTGCTTTTCTTCCTGGTAGGCATGGTTAAGCAACCTAACAGTTGCCTATCTGTGCACCCTGCCCCAAGAATTTCTTTTCATTATAGCTTGGAAAACACTCCAAACTATTGTGATATGCAGGTTGACACCTGCTATGACATCTGGTTGCTGCTAATTTTTGCCTTTCATGACAGAGTTTACTGAGTCTGAATCAGAGCAGGTTTTGACAGTGAGAAAGAGGTATAGGTTTCTGCATCTCAGGAGAAAGATAGGGTTTCCAATCAGGGATGCTTACAATTTAGCCAGTGACTTGACAGAGCTGTGTATTACTAAGTACCACATATATTTATTTCCATGTTGGGATTTATAAGTTTTTAGGTAAACTTACAAAGGGGGTCTCACTATGGTGAGATCAACTTGTTTGTTCTGCCATTTTGTCTTAACAGCAGTTCAGGGAGAGAAGGAAGGGCTGGGAGGTAAGGGAGGGGGAGAGTGGGGGAGGGGGAGGAGAGAGCACACTCAGTTGTTCGGTAGAGGGAATGGAGCCTCCATGGCATAGCCGTGGTCAAGGTGAAGGTGCTGAAGTGGTAACCATGGGGCCTGTCCTCCTACTGTGAGCTGCCAGGTGCCAGGCTGTCTCCGCTTAGAGACTTGAATGAGGATATGTGCTCTAAGAAGCTTCCAATGCAGTCTACATTCTCAGACTCATGCGGCTTAGTGGTAATATGTTCCATTCATTTAAACAGACAAAAGTTGAAACTTCCATTTAATCTTTACTTCTGTGTTTTGGTTTTTTTTTTTCTTCAAGACAGAGTTTCTCTGTGTAGCCTTGACTGTCCTAGAACTAGCTCTGTAGACCAGGCTGGTCTTAAACTCACAGAGATCTGCCTGCCTCTCTCTGCCTCTCTGCCTCTCTGCCTCTCTCTCTGCCTCTCCACCTCTCTGCCTCTGCTCCCCACCCCCAGTACTGGGATTAAAGGTGTGTACCACCACTGCCCAGCCAATCTTTATTTCTATCTGGTAACTAATAACACGGGTCCTTAGAGAACCTGCTATTTCCTGGATCATTTTAACTTGTGTTCATGGTTACATTTTCCGTTTCATATATTCACATGTATTTACCTGATAAAACTGAAATAAAGCAGCGTGTGTTGGGGAAATACTGTCTAGTAACTACCCCATATCAGATCAAGATTTAATTTTGAGGGTGACACAGATGATGACTTTAGCAAGCACTAGCTTTGCTTTTCCTTAGGCTGGTAAATATTATTTTAAAATTATTAAGTGTTTTACCAGACCTTTTTTTTTATAGGTAACTGATACAAAACTGATTATCTCCCAGGTTTTATTTTATAGTCCTAGTTCAACCATCGTTTTCATTTGAGTTTAGATTTTAATTGACTCTATGTGGAACACTTTCAACATTCATTTAAAATTAGAAACAACAAATATATTTTTATAGTTTTCCTTCTCCTTCCCCTTTCATTCATTCCCCCCTTTCCTTTTTTTTTTTTGTCTCTTTCACTTTTGTGAGACAGGGTCTCATGTAGTCCAGGCTTGCCTCAATCTCGCTATGTAGCCAAGGATGACTTGAACGTCTGAGCCTCCTGCCTCCAGTCTCCAGATGCTGAGAACAGAGGTGTGTGGCAGTGATGTCTGGTTTATGGGGCACTAGGGATGGCAAATAGAGCTTTGTGTATGCTAGGCAAGCACTACCAACTGCTACATGCTCAGGCCTCTGATGATTCTTCCGCCATGATACGCAGTTAAGAAACCAAGGGGTATATAGTAAGCGCTTACTGTATGTAAAAGTCATACTGCAGCAGTTAAAATCCTGGAAGGTCATTTAGTGTTGGGAAGTCTATGGGATCCCTCCAGTGCTCCCCTGCCCGAGCCCCCACATGCACAGCCATGCATGGCCAAGGTCTGCTCTGTAATCCCCCTCTCTGATGTGATCCGCTATAGCTAAACTGCACCTGCTAATGCTGTTGTCATTAGTCAATAGTTACAAAGTGTTTATTTACTAGGTATGAGGCTTGCTAATAGACCCATCACAGTCATTAATCGATGCCCTACATCAGGGTGCAGCTGAAGGACTGTCATAGGAAAAGAGGACAAAGTTATGTCAATTGTAGTGACCTAAGTGAGTCTTAGAAATCTTCAAAATATTCCATGTAGGAACCACAACTTAAGTCTTCAAGCTTTGAAAGGAAATGATGCTGGATGGAAGGGTGCTATTTTAGCTTGTTTTTTCTGATGCTATTAGAAATGCCAAGGCCAAAAAGAAATTGGGAGAAAAGGGTTTATTACATCTTACAGGTTTTGTCCCATTATCCAGGGAAGTCAAAACAAGAACGGAAACAGGAACCACAGGGAAACCCTGCTTACTGGCTTGCTCCCTGACTTCCATTCACACGGTTTTGATACAGCCCAGGCCCACCTGCCTAGGATGGTATTGCTTACAGTAAGCCTGGTTCCTCCGACACCAATTAGAAATCAAAAACGTGCCCCACAGACTTGCCCACAGGCCAGTCTGATGGAGCAGCACCTCAGTTGAGGATCATTCTTTCCAGGTGTGACAAGCTGACAATCAAGATTAGCCACCACAAGGGTGTATTCTGGGTGTGCTCTAGCTCTCCCTTGGACCATGTGGGACTCAAGACACTGTGGTCATTGGTTTAGGAGGAATGACTTCATCTCATCAGTACAAATAGTGCCATCTCTGTTGTCTGATGTTTGCTTGTTGCTGATGGCTGTCTTGTAGTTGCTCCGATCTGCTGCTGATTGGTCTGCTGGTATAAAGCACCATGAGGAGTCAATCCACTCTGCCTACGTCTACGTCATAGAGAACAGCAAGCACTATATCTACATTGAAGTAAGTATTGCCAGTGAGTCACTTACACAGCCTGCCTTCCCCAGTGCCTTAGTTTCTATTGCCGCGATAAACACCATGGCCCAGAGCAGTTTGGGGGAAGAAAGAATTTATTTGGCTTGCATTTCCATGTCATAGTTCATCACTGAGGGAAGTCAGGGCAGGAACTTGGAGGCAGGAACTGAGGCAGAGCCATGGAGGAGCACTGCTTACTGGCTTACTTCCCGTGGCTGGCTCAGCCTGTTTTCTTGCACCGTCCGGGACTACCTGCCCAGGGTTGGCAATTTGGCAATGCCACATGGAAGGACTAGATGTTTCCATGTCAATCATCAACCAAGAAAATGCTCCGCATAATTACTTGCCTATGAGCAAACTGATGGATGCATTTTCTCAATTTAGGTTTTTCTTCCTAGATAACTTTAGTTTGTGTTGAGTTGACAACAAAACAAAACAAAACAAAACAAACAAAAAAACCCAACTAACCAGGACACTAAGTATCATACAAGATGTAGGGACCCCAGTTCCGGATTCAGTATTAATAAGCATGAATTGAGTTATGAAGGGTTCTGGGAAAATGCCTGAATTCACTCTGCACCATCTTTAACTCAGGACTCATGGAACCTTGCAAGTCCTTTGGTACTGACATATATCAGCTTACAAATACATTTTGCTAAAAAAAAATCCCAGTATGGACATGGGAGTTTCCACTGGGGTATGGTTAAAAGGTCTAGCATAAAAGTATGAAGCGTGCACTATTTCAGGAGAGCACACACATGCACACATGCTCATACACACACATATACATGCACACATGCACACACACAGAGTAAGTTGCTCACACAGAGGACTTACAGAATATCCCTGCTGTGGGAACCCTGGAGTAGGAAAAGACAGGGAAGGGAATATGAAAATGGGTGATATGAGGACATTAAAGCTGAGAGTCACTGTTCATGATAAAGCCTTTTTAGAACACAGATTGTGTTCAAAACCCATGAGAAAATCTTTAATTGAACTACAAAGTAGATCCAGAAATAGCACAGACTCTTTGGAACCCCTCAGAAAAATAAAGAATCTCCATAATGGGGGGAGACCCAAGCCAACACATATCTCCCCACTCTATCCTGGCTTTATTTTTCCATTGAATAAAAGTAGCCAGAAATGGATTGTTGGAGAAACCATTTGAGCCCTGTTTTCCTTCTCCTAGAGTCCTGTACTCTTCCCTTCCAGAGTGATAGCGATTAAACAGCATCAGCAAACAATTTGAGCTGTACTTATTCCTCAGACCTGGAGAAGGAGAAAGTTGATTAAAAATGTTAGCAGCCTAAATGTGTGTGTGTCCCACATGAAAACATGCAGCCGATAAAGGGCATTAGTGGAAATCAGGGAAGTCCACTCAGGAGTGTAGTAAGACATTTCTTATCATTAACTGTGAGAATGATTGATGCTGTCATTGCAAAAGATGTGACAGTTGCCTCATCTAGCATTTAGCATCCAGTCATTTTGTTTCATTTTTAAAATAGCATTAACACCAGTATCTTAGTTACTTTTCTTTATGCTGTGGTAAGATGGCTGACAAAAGCCTTTAAGGGTTTGTTTTGGCTCCCAGTTCTGAAGAATATAGTCCATTGTGGCAGGGAAGTCATGGCAGCAGGAGAAGGAAGTGTCTGGTCACCTCACACACGCAGCCAGGAAGCAGGGTGATGGATATGGGTACTCAGCTCCCTTCTCCTTTTTAATAAGTCTGTGGTCCCGGTTTGTGGAATGCTGCTGTCCAAATTTAGGGTGAGTCCTACCTCCTCAGTTAACCTAATCTGTGTAAGCCCTCACTAACATGCCATGATTGTGAAGTCCATCAAGTTGACCATCGTGACTAGTACAATCAACTTTTCTCTCTCATGCAAGCATGGCGTTGAGGTCAGCAGTGCCATGTGAGCATTCATGGTTGTAGACATTTCTCTGGGTGATACCCATCATGATACAAAGCAAGCATGTACCTTAATCAGAGAGAGAGAGAGAGAGAGAGAGAGAGAGAGAGAGAGAGAGAGAGAATTTTAGCATGTGGCAGTCTGTTCTTGTAGCTGATGAGGCATGCTAACCTTTGTAGTAAGAGTTGTTTGAATCATATTCTCAAAAGAGGTTGTGAACAATGCCTTCTTACACGTTGTCTCCTGGAGGCATTGCAGCTATTTGTTCCCTGCTGCATAAAATCTTGTGCACTGGGGCTGGAGAGATGGCTCAGGGGTTAAGAGCACTGCTTGCTCTAGCAGAGGTCCTCAGTTCAATTCCCAGCAACCACATGGTGGCTTACAACCATCTATAATGAGGCCTGGTGCCCTCTTTTAGTGGGCAGGCAGAACATTGTATACATAATAAATAAAAAATAAATTAAAAAAATAAAAGTAAGATCTTGTGCACCCATAAAAATGGTGTTGTGTAGCAGGAGTTTCTTTCCAGCCTGGTCTTGCAGCCGATTAGCCCCAAATAAACACACAGAGACTTATAATAACTTATAAACTGTTGGCCAATAGTAGGGAGTCTTACTGGCTAGCTCTGTCTTAATTATTAACCCATAACTACTAATCTATGTATTCTACATGGCCTTGTCTTACCAGAGAACACCTGGCATGTACTATCTTCTCAGTCTCTACATGGCTTCTCTCCCCGATGGCCTCTCTCTGTCCTTCTCAGCATCCTCCTCGTCTCATAGTCCTGCCAATACTTCCTGCCTGGCTATCAGCCAATCAGTGTTTTACTCATCACCCAATAAAAGAATGATATATACAGAAGGACATCCCCCATCAGTGTTGCTTCCAAAGGACACAAATTTACGATTAGAAAATATTGCTTGAAGATTCATTTTGTTAGAAAATTACAGTTATATTGCAGCAATCTGTTCTTTTTAATTTCAATAGACAGTACTAACAGTATTTATTGGTTATTTTTTTATCATTCTTTCATGCAGCAATAAAAATCCTTTGTATCATTAGGATATTAACGTAGCCATTTTCTAACAATAATTTCAAAGAATGTTTTATAGATCTATGAATATATATGAGATTTGAGAGCTGAGTCAATGACTCCCTGGAGAAAATCCTTTCCATATAAGCTCAAAGGATCAGAGTTCAGATCCTTAGTACCCACATAAATGCTGGGTGAGCAGGGGACTGCCCTCACTTGCAAAGTGGAAACAGGAGATCTAGACTAATCCTTTTAGGATGTTCTGGGCTCAGCTGGGAACCCTTGCCTTAGTTCAAAAGGTGTAGAAAGATCAAGGGAGACTCCTGAGGCCAGCTAGGACCACCACAAGCACACATGGCACTCTGGCCAGCACAAACACATGTGCTCACATACATGGCCATGCACACATGGCACTCTGGCCAGCACAAACACATGTGCCCACAAACATGAACATGAATACAATACATGGGCACTCTGTCCAGTACGATCATGTGTCCACAAAGATGACCGTGCACACCAAAAAGAAAAAAACTATTTGACAGAGATTAGAAACTTCTTTAAATAGAAGTTCATGGACAGGAGAGCCCCAAAGACAGAGGACAAGGTGAAAGTAGGTGCCAGGGAACGCTGGAGAGAACCTGTGCTGAATGAGCAGGCCTTCTGCCCAAGGCAGGATGCATGCCAGTGTAGAACTTTTAATTCCAAGGGTGTGTGTGCTGTAATAATCAAAAGGAAACCTCACTTGGAAATGTCCACGGCATTCTCAGACTGTAACTTCGACATGTGTGTTAGGAAAGTCACATAGCCTCCCACTTGAGGAAGGTATTGTAAGCACAGAATGATGTAATGCTCGCGAGACCTGGGGTCAGAGAGCACCTCCTATTCTCTGAGCCGTTTACTTTCCCTTGAGATCCAGAGGCTCCAACATACCCATGTGTGAACCAGTTTTATATCAATATAGTATTTGTTCTCCCATTCTCCATATCTTCCAGAGAAAACAAGGCCTTCCTTACACAGTGTCCTATTTTTCTTACAGAATCAATTTTTCATAAGCTGCGCTGATGATAAAGTTGTGTTCAACAAGGTGGGCGATGCTATTGCCCAGAGAATCCTAAAAGCCCACAGGTAAGGTTTTCTTTGAACAAAAGTTTGAGCCAAGGTACTGTAGCTGCTCCTGCTTCACCGTGAAGGTGGCCCCAAAAGCTTGTGTTGAAAACAGACTCTTCATTGTCTTGTGAGTCAGTTGCTGAGAAATATTCAGTTATCTTGGTGGGAATCTGAATTTTTCCAGGATGCAATCAGCTTCCTGGCCTGCCCTTTTCCCACATATGGGGTTTGTGTTCTGATTTATTTCATGGAAGATAGTGAACTATGTTCACACAAACAAAACCAAACAGAAAACGTTGCCACAGAGTTATATTTAAATTCTCATTTCCAAATGTCATATTTCTTTAGCTCATGGAATCATTTCTCAACAGTCTCATTCTAATCATATCCATACACTGTGCAGTTCCCCCCAATAAACCTAACAGTCCAACAGCATAGCATATTCACAAAGTAGCTGTCGTTGACTGATTTTGTTATCTTTATTTGTTTTAATAATGATATCACTATTGTGTATGTGTGTCCACATGGTAAATGCACATGCAGCACATGGTCATGTGGTCAGGACCAGCAGCAAGCACTTCCATCTCTGGCAGCCTTTATGAATACTTTCTCCTAAGAATTTTTTTCATTTAAAAAATGCTATCTCTGTGTGTGTGTGTGTGTGTGTGTGTGTGTGTGTGTGTGTGTGTGTGTAGGTGACTCATGCCCACTGTCCCAATTCTTGTTTTTAGTTTTATCTGTTAATATTTGTATCTTTGACTCACTTTGAGCTATTTTTGTATTTTTTGTGAGTTAGCAGTCCACCTTCCTGTGTTTGTAGATGTAGATTGTAGACTGCTGGTAGAATAGATTATGGCCACACCACCCTGAATGCACCACGTATGGTCTCAAGGGACTTTCTTCCCCTTAACTGAGTTGTTTGAGCTCTGGGACTAATGATTTTGTGTGTGTGTGTGTGTGTGTGTGTGTGTGTGTGTGTGTGTGTGTGTGTGTCTAATTTGAGTTCTATGTGAAAGTGGCAAAGTCAAAAGAACTATTACACCTCACTAAAGTCTTTGAATGTATGCAGTTAATGTCACATTTATACACGTCTAGAGATAAAACCATTTTTCCATCTTTTTAAATATAATGTATAGGGATTTTAGAATGAATGAAATATTAGTGGTAACTATCAATATTTTATCTGTTTTGTAGTTTTTATTTACGTCATCTTATTGAACCTTCACAATTGGGAAAGTGGGTCTTGTAGTTGTGGATGTTCAACAAATTGTAGGACTTGTGCTGTTGCTTTTCTTGTTGCCATGACAAAATACCTACAGAAGCGATGTAAGGCAGGAAGGCTTTTCTTTGTCTCACAGTTTGAGAATACAGCCCACCACAGTGGGGAAGGCATGGCAGAATGCACGGTGATGTTTTCCTTCCATCTGTAGTCAGGAAGCAGGATGAGCAGTGCTACTCAGCTCACAGTCCTTGCTTTAACTCAGTCTGTGGAATGGTGCTGCCTTCAGAGTGGCCATCCATGTCAGTTGACCTAATCTTAGTAACTCTCTTCCAGACATGCCCAGAAATCTGTCTCTTTAGTGGTTCTAGACCTTGTCAATTTGACAATGTTTATCCTCACATTTGTCTAGGTTGCTTTTCAGCAACAGGCCTCAATAGTGTTGAGACCCTAGTCTTTGGGACTTTGAAGGACCAAGTGTTTCCTGATAGCATGTAAATGGGATCCACAGACGGTTAGAAATCACGGTGCATTCTCCCATGGGGTTTCCCTGTGAGGAGATAGCTGGGGTAGACGTCTTTGGCGCTTTCCCCTTCACCAGTCATTACATGCATACTGATCCCAGAGTGTGAGAATGAGTGACGCAGGTTCCTTTGGCCAACGGAGGGGGTAAAATCTGGAGAAGGTTGTTACCATGAGTCAGCAGCCAGGCCTCTCAGCAGTGGGGATGGCTGTCTCAGCCCCGTGCTGAGGGGATCTGGGTAGCTCCGCATTCTTTGCATCCTGTGGACAGCTCAGCAGTCCTCACATGGCACTGCTCATTAAACTCAACCCCAGGCGCCTGTAACTGCACAGTTTGCCTCATGGTCACACTTGCTCAATTACGGTTCCCTGGACGGAGGCCATTGGGTTGTATATTGCTGCAAAGATGGCCCAGGCATAGCTAAGTTTGTGTGGTACTCATCAGGAACATAGACAGCTAGGAATGGTAATGTCTGAGTTCTGCCATTACAAGTCCCGTTTACTCTTTACCCTCTGGATGCTTTTTAAAGTCACCAGTGCATCTGTTGATGGACTTATAAGCAGACTTGCTTGTGGTTGGACACACACATGTACAGGGATTTCTCACATTCCCTGACTTCCTAGTCTCTGGAGCAATGGGGGGGGGATTTGAAAGAATGCATTACTTTCCTGTCAGTTCTGACATCTCACTGATGCAGAGATGCCTGCTTTATTCAGAAAGCACATTTGGAAAAAGGGGAAAAATGTGTTTTTATGAAGTTGAAGTAAATCACAGAAAAATATCAAGTTAGCAAATGAGTTCATTGCAGTGAAAGGTGGGTTGTGAATTTTGGAACTGTGATTAACAAATAAATGGAATTGGGTGAGCTAGAACTTTCATCTCTCCTGGTAGCTCCCTATAGGTACCTGCAAGTTTGGGATAGGTAGTTTGGGAGCATGAGGGGATATTTTTCTGTGTGCATGTATATACAGGTGAAGGTGAGTGTGTGTGTGTGTGTGTGTGTGTGTGTGTGTGTGTGTGTGTGTGTGGTGTAGGCCAGAGGATAGTCTCAGCTTCCATGCTTCTATTCCTCAGGTGCTATCACTAGACAAAAAGATTGAATAGTTGATTAAAATGTACAAAAGCCTTCAATTCAGAAATGCTTGAGAATGTGAACTATTGCTGTCAGATCTCTGTGAGTTCAAGGCCAGCCTGGTCTACATAGTTCCAGGATAGTCCAGGTTGTGCAGAGACTGTCTCAAAAGCAAACAGGTCGGTCAACATTGAATCTTTGCATCTATCTGTCTATCTAATTATCTACCAATCTTCCTTCTTTTCTTCCTTCCTTCCTTTCTTCTTTCTTTCTCTCTCTCATTCATTCCCCTCTCTCTCTCTCTCTCTCTCTCTCTCTCTCTCTCTCTCTCTCTCTCTCTCTCTCTGTCTGTCTGTCTCTCTCTCTCTCTCTGAGACAGTCTCTCACTAGTCTAAAATTCACAGAGTAGATAAGGCTAAATGGCCAGTCAGCCTTGAGGATGCCTCCTGGCAACAGGATTAAAATCGTGCTCTATCATAGCTAGCTTTCTGAGACATGTGAATTCTCGGCCCGGCCACCATGCCTGCAGAACGAGTATCTCACTGACTGAGCTGCCACAGTAGCTCAAGAACATTTTCTCTACCATTTTAATTTGCACCAAAAAAGTTGGAATAGTCCTAAAAGTCTAGTATTTCAGAGCAGGAAGGAATTTATGGCATTGCTGATTACATGTTTCCTAGTAGCCCTGTGACAGCTGACTCTGATTCATAGGCGTGTGGAGGCAGCGTCTGCCACAGACTGTACCTTTTGATTTGACTTAACTTGATGTCTGTGGGCTGGTTTTCTTAGAAAGGTCAAGGAAGAAGACAAAGCCCCATTTGCAGGCTGCCTGAGGTGTGTGTGTGTGTGGGGGGAGTTCTGCTCAGCACTGGCCTGGGCCTTGCTCTTTCTCTTCCTTCATAGATCTCCCTTGCCAAAGACATCCTTAGCAGCAAGGCCAGCTCAGTGGCCAGAGAAGGACTAGACGAGAGCACAAAGCAGGTGCAGGGAAGTGACAGCAGGCTTCCAGGTCTTACCAAGGACTCTGGACCCTTAGCCAGGGCCTTCCCGCCTCAGATAGCTGACTCCCCCCGGTGCCAGCCCCTTCTACTAGGCTGTCTTATTTTTCTGTCAGTGTTGGAACGGAGCCTTGTTCCAGTTCCTCAGAGTTATTTGCTGCCTTTTCCACAGCCATCATTTTCCATAGAAATGGGATTCTGCCAGGTCTCTGCTGTGGTCCATGACCCAGAGTCTCAAGCCCATGTTCATTCGCAGTAACCGAAAAGAAGCCAGGGGAATCGCTGCAGAAAACAACACGTTTGCTCTAATACCCGAATCTGTCTCAGAGCTGAAACCAGCTCTCAGCCCACTAGAAGCATGCCTTTGACAATTCAAAGGTGTCTAGGCAGACAGGCAGAAGTCTTGACTCTCTATCTCAAATCATCTCAGTCACCATGGCTGAGTAACCAAAGGGACAGAAAAGTAACAACCCATCTAGGCAGAAACATTTCAAGACACTGTGTCATGAATGAATGATTTCTGGGGACCATGTAGGGTCTGCCTACTTTGACATGCAAAATTCTGCTGCTTTAGTAGAAATCCAGGAGATGAGAGCGTGCATGCGTCTCACGTGACTCTCACCAAAGTCTTGATATACAATGACAGTTGACTGCACGTGTCTGTTAAAACTGAATGGCACTGAAAACTGTACCATTAAGTCACTTAAAACATGCAGGTTTTGAATACTGTTTAACCATCCCAGATGGTTCTTACAACTGTGGGGAGTTATAGTTGACAAGTAAATGGCCAATAGTGAACTTTAGTATCCTTGGGGACCAGCTGTCTGGGGGCTTAAGGCCCTTTCCTGCTGTTATTCACAAATATGTGCCCTTTTCAGTCTATCGGTTTGTGTTTTCCTAATGCCGTTTCTCCACCAACAAAGAGAACAATGACACTATGTGAGTGTTTATGGTGTCAGTTCATGTGGAATCACAGCATTCCAGGGCCATCCTTATCTGGTAACACACTGCACGCTCTAAGTCAGGAGTATAAAGAGCCATTATCACTAAATCATAGTTCTTATTTGTGCTAGAAACAAAGATTCCAACTAAAACAATGTTTAATTGGCCCTATTTTAAATTGTTAGGCGCATACTATAGAATAAAACTTGCTTTGGAAAAAAACAAACAAAATTAGTTTACTTTTAATTAAAAAAATCCTTAGTT